GCGGATGGGCTATACCAGCCACATTATGCTAATAGATTGGCATGGAGGAATAGAAAGCATTGCTTACTGGTAATACAGCCAATCAAGTATTTGAATCCTAAGCTTTCCAGGTTTTGCCTCCTGGCAGCATAGCTGTTTGATGCAATGTAACCTCAAGTAAGCGGGGTATGTAGTATACCGTCTGCGCCAAACATTTTGAAAGTGAAACATTGTACTAGTGAAGTGCTAGAATTACGCAGATCATCCTTGCTCGGAACATCGTCTTACTTCAGCTATGATGCTGAGTGAAGCTTTCACAAGACCAGCTGAATCTCTGGCTCTGATGATTGGACATGTCAATTGGTCGTCGGAGCCATTCTTCCCCGGGGCTTATGGTAATAGTTAAGCATAGATTAGCTCAAACAGGAAGCCATCGCGACATGCCATAGTATATAAAAGCCCTTCCGACAATCCGTTTCGGACCATCGGCATCAGCAGTCTACCACAGTCCTTCCTCACCAAGAATCATTATTACACAATTTCAACGACATAACAAAGCTATCAATATGCGCTTCATCGTCCTCGCAACTCTTATTGCGCCTCTGGTCTCAGCGGCGGTTGCTGGTGTCGACATTGAGGCCCGTGTAGAGGCTGTTGCCGAAGTCGAAGAGCGATCCCTCCTCTCCTTGGATAAACGCGCTTGTAAAAACACTGGCTGTAAATGCAGCACCAAACACCCCTTGAAGCAAGGTCAATACTGCGGCAACTGTGTCTGGTCGAACGGCGACGGCTACATCATCACTGCTAAGCGCGTCAACAATCACGTTTATGAGTGCTCGCCCTCTGGAGGCTGCTGCGACTATGGTGTCGGAAGTGATTGTGGCTCTGGAACTGCACGATGCGGATAAGGAATAACATAGGTTGACGGATGGTTGGACTTCACATGGAGAATATCAACAATGAGTCAACAATTCGTTTACAATGCATGAGGGAAAGTAGGGCCAAGAGGCGGAATCAATTTGAGATAAGATTTTGTCCGTACACTCTTTAGAACTATTTGGACAGTTGTTTGGTATATCTCTGTGGCGATAGTTTCACAAGGGGGGGCATATAGCCCAGTGACTTGACCAATCCTATGTACCTGAAATATATCAGCTATCATGATCCTGGTCGCTATCCGCATATAAGATGCACGTGAAGGTTTTACTAATGCTACCGGACAATTTATTGTCATATCCATTAAAATTATCTACTTATCTATTTCTATGAGATGCTATATCTCTCTCGCCATTAGCATTCCATGCGATAACGTAGTAAATAAGCTCATAGGATCTACTATGAGGGCGTCGTATTATGGCCGGCTGTATATTCACCCCATCCAGTTATTAGGGGTCCACTGAACCTATGAGAGTTGTCAGTTTAGCCTTTGGCAAATGAAGGAGAAATATCATTCTTACATAGCTGGGGTTAATCTGCTCGAGATCCCCAACGCCAAGATTGGCAGCATCAATGGCGATTTCGTGTTTAATAATCTCAATGGCTTTTTCGATACCTTTAGTGCCAAAGACGTTGGCAAACATGAAGGGGCGACCCAAGCCAACAGCTTTGACACCTAGCGACAATAACTTCAGCACATCGGCACCATATCGAACACCGCCATCCGCATAAACTTCAATTTGCTTGAAGACCTCGGGAGCTTTCTCATGAATCTCGAGAGCAACTTCAAGAGACGAAGGACTGCCATCAAGCTGTCTGCCACCGTGGTTTGAGAGGATGATAGCCGGGACTTTGTGCTTGACAGCAAGTTTAGCGTCATCGACAGTCATGATTCCCTTGAGAATGACGGGGAGATCAGTCTTGGTAGTAATCCTTTTGTAATAATCCCACTACAAGAACCGCATATTAGTAACAGAGCATTGGCGCGGTCCGTATTAAATAATGACGGATTAAAAAAAAAAATCCCGTAGACTTACAGTGATGTAAGTATATTCGGAATCACTACCAGTTATTGTTAGCAATATGTAATAACGTGTATGATGGTTTAGTTTGACTCACGCGGACCCGACACCATAGCGGGCGGCCCGGTGCCTATTTCCATCTGCCGCGGAGTCGACGGTGAATACAATGGCGTTTGCTCCAGCTGCTTTGGAGCGGTCCAAAAGGTCTTGGGTCTCAGTGTCGTTTGAGGAAAGATAGAGCTACAATTCAATTGTGTTAGTGATGTTCGTGACTCCGAACGAAAGCTCGACGTATTTCTACCTGTTGGAAAACGACTTGGCCTTCCGCTTTGGCGGCAGCGATCTCTTCAATCGTATACGATGCTAGGAGTGCCGGCTATTTTTGTAAAGTTAGAATTGAACTTACGGTGTGGAACTGGCTTCACATGTCATCAATAGTTAACATACCATGTAGAGAATGTTGCCGGCTGCTGCACCTTTCACTAGGTTGAGCTCTGCGTCGGGATGACCATAGCCACCACGAGCACAAGGGCTGATGAAGATGGGCGCAGAGAAGTTGTGGCCAAGAATAGTTGTCCTAGGAATTGTCGATCAGATATAAAGCTTTTATTGTTTCTTGCGCTTGGAACTAACGGCAGCGTGCTCTCAATCTTTGTGATATCAACCATCACCCTGGGTCTTAGCCTATATCTGTGGAAGACCTCCAGATTGTTGCGGTATGACCATTCTCCTGCAGCACCATTACGGTAGTAAGTGTAATTCTTGGTTGGGAGGTAATGACGAGCGGCCCAGTCAAAGTCGGGAAGTCCAATAATGTCCGATAAATCTGGCAGAGTTCCCTTTGGAAGATCGCTGAGAACATCGTCAATGCCTGTGTCAGGCTCATTCAGGAATTCTCGAGCGGCGAAAGCGCCCGAAGCAAGAAAGGCAGTAAATAAATGGGACCGCATCGTTGAGGAAGTGTATCAGTCGTAGATAGAAGCTACGGAAACTTGAACGGGCCTGCAGACCCAGTAGGCGTTGCTCGCCTTAATATATAAATATCCATCCGATGGTACTGTGTACCTTTGAATCACAGATCTCTAAGAGGGGTGACGCAAGTGCAAAAACTCCAATTGCAGGGATTTGAGATTGATATTCACGCTGGCGTCTCATTGTGGGAGCCAAGAGCGGGTTTTGGCACCGGCATAGTATGATGGCCGTACTAGGGTGTTTGCACGCAGGGGCCAGTGTTTTCGTAGTTTAAATTGTCTTGCAGACGCAGAGGCTGGTTTTACGTGCAATAGTGCCAGTGGGTAAGAACTTACTGAGTGTTTACGTTGCGATCTGTCCGATCCAGCCTCTGGAGCACGGCGTACAAATGGAGGAATACCAGTATTAAATACGTCCATGACTCATATTAAATGCAATGCCATTTGAAGCATAACGAAATGAATGATGCCATCAAAAGTGAGCAGCTGTTCAATGACCCTACCGGTAAACAATAAGCTCGTTGCTAGGAAGGGAAGCTCGGAAAGAATGTAACCTCGGCGCTGAGCCTTCTAATCACGCAAGCTCACTTGGCCCGCCTGGGTGACCAATGGCTGTTGGCAGACATGATTTTACCGACAATAACAAGGCATTGGCATTGTTGCTACCCACAAAGTGCAGAGTACTATGCTCCTACCCTGGGGCCCGGAGATTGAAACATACGTGAAGTTGCCACCATTTAGCCAGAACAATTGTCTCTTTCCCGAAAAAGCGCCGTGTTGCATGGTCAAGACAAGGTTAGGGATTAAGCTTACTTGGCCAGGAATCTAGCACGGAGTAGAGCCATCTTCCCATGTTTCAGTAAGCGTATCCTGAGCGTCTTTTTTCCCCTGCGTCCCCAAGCACCATATGCTACTCCCGCTACGAGAGATAAGTGTTACACCATGATCTCCTCTCTCTACTCAACTTGGCGGCTTGGCCGGCGCTTTTACCTATTAAACACCATCCAAATATAGAGGGATCTCTCGGCACGGGGACATTAATGACCCGAGCCCGCATTAGACCAGGGGGGGGCCAAGAGCCGACTGTCTTTAACCTTGGACCAAGATATTCGGAGTCTATCCGGAGTAGCCATTGTTACACTTAAATTCAGGTGTGATCCCATCTTATCATCTTATTGCTTTGCGCTTACGGAGTACGTTATACCCAAAAAATCTCCCCAAATCCTTCTACCATGGTGTGGATAGGGCAGGATTAGCTGTTATGGCACCTTCTACCATGCATCTTACTGTGCTTAGGCAAAGAGTCTTGGCAGGCACCATTTATTCGAAGGCTTACCGGATATCGAGTTGCGTTGTTTTTGGCCTTTTTCTTTCCACGCTCGCTACTCGAAACGACGATGTCTAGGTCAGCCTACAATAAGCAATGTACAATACAGACTGAATCTTAATTGAAACATCACCTAGGAGCAGCACACGCCACATCAATCCCTGCGCGTCATGATTGCAGAGCAAAAAGAAAAGCCAATCAAAGCCTTACAATGTGGATTTATAGCTTTTACCTCGCTGAGTAAATTATCACTATCCTCTCCAACAACCCACTCCTGTAATTACAGCATCCTATTATACGCTGCCACCGAGCTAGTGATCGCAGAGTTACCAAGCCCCCATCAAGAATCACATCGTAGGCTTTGGCCTTGCGGCGTGCAAAGAACGATGGTACCGAAATAACGCTAAATACATTCCTTTCCGGGCATTTCTTAGCTTGTCGCCATACAGCTTCCCCCAAGCAAGCTTCTCGCTTCTTGTCCACCTTCTTCCTAGTAAAAATACAAATCTTTAGCGAATTTACTCTTGTTACTCATTTCGTAGAGTACTAAGACAATGGTAATATGTCTGCCAGAATGGCGGATGACTTCCAAGAAGTGGTAAAGGTAACAGTACTATAGCGCTGTATCTGTACATGGCAGCCATAATAGCTGACTCATTGACAGGTTTTGCCTATCATCATTGCGGCAAAATAATAATGGGCGCGGAATATGTTGTATTGAATATATACATTGTGGGTATCAAATACGTTATTGTTTGATATTTCTCATCGGGTATGTGTTCTTTCCGGAATCTGTAACGGTATCGAGGATTTCTCCGACGAAGACATGAAGCACGCCTTACAAAGCGGACAAGTATTATGCCTCTTCAAAAACCATTTTGCCAAACAAAGAGAGTGGAAAATGTGCGCGCATGATAGCAGGCGAATCGTATCGTCTTCTTGTAGGGTCTCTAAACATATTGCACTACCACTCGTTAGTGACTTGCATTGTCATTTGGAACGCAGATGGTAAAGGCAGCTTACCATACGACATGAGTAGTGCTTTGTTTAACGGAACCGGTCGCTTCCTCGCTCTTCTCTTTCCAGCTCTTGAAGGATTGAGTTGGAGCCTTTTGATTCAGTTTCTCGATTTTGCCGGCATTCTGGGCACTTTCTGGGTCATCAAACCCGTTGGCCGGCTTTTTACGATCAAGCACCTTTGTGTATTGACTGTTACAGCCATCAGCTACTTGCATTTTTCAGGCATGATCAAAGCATGAAATTGGGGGACTTTTAAAACGTACGCAAGGATAAGGAGTACCAAAACAATCGCCACGACAATGACGGTCATAACAATGATGGGGACGTAGTCATGACTGGTACCTCCTGTTGACGTGTCGCTCGTAGAATTTCTCCTAGCTATATGGGATAAACCCGTTATTCTCGAACGAATTAAAGTGTCGTCGTAGTCCATGTTTGTGTATTCGTCGAACTTGTCTCGCAAAGGATTTAATGCTCTATCCGGACGCCAATACTACCGCAATTGCGAAGGGCAACCCCAGGCGGGAGCATGAGCTTTAATATCACGAGAAACCTTAACCATCGCCACGTTATGAGGGGAAATGGTTCGTTAAACCCCCATACATCACGTACCAGAAGACTGGTTCGTAACTGCTGAGGCGCCGCCACGAATCCTGACGGTGGCGCTGACCCAGGCTCTCGTAGACCCTTAGAATAAAGGCAATTGCTGGACAATTGCACATTTCGGTTTCTCCGCATATGTCCTCATGGTGACCAGGAAAGCTTCATTTCATTAAGAGTGCCTCTAGCGCAGATACCAATAGCAGAGGCGTAAGGTAGCTATTGGAGAGGAATTCATTCTTATAATGTGCAGCATAACAGCCTGTCAGCTCTCGCGATGTGACGTCGGCAGTTCATGCTGTTGGTTAAATGTGGCTTCAGCTGCTGCCATTAAGATCCACTGATTGGATGCCATCTCAACGTGGCGAATATGGGCTGTGGCTGATGAGCTGATAAGCTGGGGTTAGAGTTTGACGGCTGAGTTGGGCTGAACAAGCAGTAGCTCATATGGGATTTGCACATGCAAGGTCTGGACATCTTGACAAGCTCTTAACTAGTGACACATGAGCTACCTACACGAGGGGTGCCAGATCAGAGCCGTCAAAAAAGGATTGGCAACTGCATGTCGATCGATATCTAAGCTTTCCTGAATCAGATGTGTGCGAACTACATAAATACACTTCACGAGATCGTGTAATTTGCTCCATTGTTTACATGGCCAGATTAAAACAAGGCGTTCTTACAGGTATTGACAATGTTGTTTCGTTGGATATCGTGGGGAGAACGCCTGCTTGATGTACATCGCGAGTGTACTGACACAGTCTGACAGAGATGGGGTAAAAGAAAGAAAAGAAGAAGAAATGGGAGTACGCGCGGAATAGTCGGTTACCCATAGCACGACGAGATCAACGGAATCCTCGGTGCTATCAGCAGCGAGAATAAAAGTGAGGTAGTAATAAGAATAATTGCTTTTGTAGAAGATTACGATGTGAAAAAGTATAGGCGCAACACACTCCATGTAAGACGCCTAGTCTGCCGAGCGCGCCGTACATTTTGCCATTTCCACAACTCTAGTCGTATGTAGGTCGTAAGCATCTTAATTATAAACTACCGAGGCCGTCAATCACTTTCGCAAATTCTCAAGATGCCGGATATCGCCCAGATTCCATGTATTACAGCATCAGACTCGTTTTATTACGGCAACATGACCAAGCGCCGTTCGGCCTTTGCCGGACCTCCGAAATCCAGGCTTCCGCTCATGCAGCCTGCTAACCCCTGCGTCCTGCGGAGTTTATTCCGGAAGGCCTTCCTAAAACGATCTACACAGTTCTGCATTAAGCAAATAATTTCATCATAACAACAATGCTTTGGCTGCCTTTTATCTCTCTATTTTTAATTTTTTTATTTCGGATGGGGTCGGATCAATTAGAAGGTAACAGAGAGTCCGCGCGTAGTTTTTTGTAGACAGAGACTCAGGCAGAAACTGGATCCGAGTCAAGTGTTTAGAGAAGTTGTGTGAGATGCAAGAAAACCGCATTTTTTAGCTGGACTATGAGATGGATCCGGTACTGTTAAGTATTGTCCTACCGTGAAATCTACAAACGCATATCTTCATACGGCCAAGATGTTGTATTTACAAGCCGACATAACAGAGCACCTCGCGTCTATGATGCTTGGGCATTTACTCTTAACGCCGTCTGCAGTGCAGCGGCATTCCCTTTGCCCCACATGCCGACTTCTCGCGGATGCATTGATGCCGGTTGCTTATAGATAGCTTCTCCTTTTACGCTTACTGTACAACGAGTCGCTAGCCACTAATCCATAACGCCGGGCGATCTATCGAATGAGATCAGATGTTCTACTGCTATCTCGATGCTCATTCGTGCGTTAGCGGGAGCCAATCGCGCCAAGCTCATGTAAATTCGCGGTTGGCCGGCACTAAGAAGGTGGCTAAATCCGTTGCCTATATCGATCCCATCTTGACCAGCAGCATGGCTTTATCTAAGCGTTTCCTGCAGGATTCGACATTGTGCGACCCGGTAAGTCCAGCCTTGACTATCGGAGAAAAGACGTAGAAAAGCGCGAGACGGCGTCCGCGGCTAGAAAGCAGAAGACAAGTAGCTTTTGAATTAAATCATTACTCAGTGGGCGAAGTAAATTATAGACAGCGCAAATCTATTTAAATTCAAAGTATTCTCTCGCCGCTATAGCCATGATTGACCATCATTCACCTGAACTCATAGTCATTACACAAATATTCCCATTTCAATGGCCCCAAAATTCGACATCACCCCCCAACAGCGAGCATCGCAGCTTGCATTCATTCAACGCCAGCTCTTCAGGGCACCTCCCGCATGGACTCAAAAGGACGTAGATCTAAGCGGAAAGACTGCCATTGTCACAGGTTCCAATACGGGCCTGGGATTTGAGTGCAGTCGTCAACTTTTGGATCTTGGCCTCGAGAGGCTCATTCTTGCTGTTCGCAATGAAGCAAGTGGCGAAGAGGCGAAGAGATCATTGTTATCAGACCTGAAACCCGGCAGAACTGCTGTCATAGAAGTATGGAAGCTTGATCTTTCTAGCTATGACTCCATCATGGCGTTTGCAGAGCGCACCAAAACACTTGAGCGTCTTGATATCGCCATCCACAATGCAGGTCTTATAAAGAGCGGCTTTCAGAAAAACAAGTCCACAGGCCATGAAGAGACTATCCAAGTCAATTATCTTGCTACAGCTCTCTTCACCTTACTGCTACTCCCTGTATTAAAGGAGAAGAGCGTCTCTGGACAGCCTGGACACCTTGTCATCGTTTCGTCCGATACAGCTGCTTGGGCGGCGTTCAAGGAGAGGAACTCGGAACCGCTGCTGGCTAGTTTTGACAAACCCGAATCCTTCGATAACCAAGATCGATACGCCACGTCTAAATTGCTAGGCCAGATGTTTTTAACAGAGCTGGTAAAGCGAGTGCCGTCATCTGTCGCCATAATAAACGCCCCCAACCCTGGCCTATGCAAGTCGAGTCTTGCTCGCGAAATGAACAGCCCATTTCAAAAAGTCTTTATGGCAGTATTTTATTTTCTTCTTGGGCGTACCTTATCGGTTGGAGCACGCGCCTTTACGGATGCAGCTGTCAAACAAGGAGCGGAATCGCATGGGCAGTATCTTGAAGATGGAAAAGTCCAGCCGTAAGTGCCTTCATTCAACAGTTAGATCGAATTTTGCTAATATTCTTTATGTCAGAATGCCACCACTTTTGTATGAGCCCGAAGGTGAAAAGATTGCGGAGAGGCTTTGGCGAGAAACCTTGGATGAGCTTGCTTTTGCAAATGTTGCCAAGATTGTCGACTCTTTAAGTAGGTAGCGAGGTACCAGTAAATGGAAGGTAGTGGTGTTGTTACACATTTCTGGTGTGGAAAAGGATATTTGATATTTTGCGATGATAGTATTGTTGAAGTGGGTTATCGACAGAGTGGAGTTCATGGGTGTTGAACATGTTTATTTAAATAATTTATGTCTTTTTATTTACGCAGTGTACATTTATTATGTCGAGCCCAATTCTATATGCAATATCCAGCGCTGTCGCAAATGATCCAAAAGCAATTTAAATGCAGAAAAAATTCTTTCGCAGTACACTAGATAGATAAGAACGGCACACCGTTCGCACCAGTAATAGCGTTAATAACGAAAGGCGAGGTGAAGGTCGGCGGCATGCTGCTGGCGCTAATCACGGCATTCAAGAGGAAAAGTGCATCTGCTTGCTCGGGTCCCTGCAAGTCCTGCTGAGCCCAAAGTTTCTTGATCATTTCCTCCGTCGACCCCAGGTTGTTCATTGGCCTTGCTTCCATGGTTCGGTGGATTGTGGTTAGAATCAGTAGGCGTTGCTCATCAGTCTCTGCTTGAATAGAGAGAATGAAGAGCGGAAATGGCCTGTCGTACAATCGGATCTTCTCCAGAAGAACGAACGCCTTGGCAGCAGCATTTTGGGATGTTGTCGAAGACATGAAGGCACCTTTGACTACCCGGTCGACATAGATGATCAAAGCAAACTGGAACAGTCTATCGTTCATGCTTTCTGAAACCTTGCTGATGGTAATGTCATCCGCTCCCACGTCAAAACAGTCGCGTAAGTCGTCAATCTGTTTGAGTCGCAGCTCAAGCTCGTTAATTGCCCGTAGGCGTTTGAGGGACAGGTAATTCGGATCATCTCGATTTTTGACGAGGTCCATTGCTTCGCTCAAGAAGTCTAGTACTTCGGGAGAGCAGCCAAGCATGTTATGCATCTGAAGTTTGAAGATGTCAGCAACAGCGTAGTATGGAGTCATGAACAGTCGAAGACTCTTACGGTTATTAAATCTATGTCGTTTGCTGAATCAGAAACAAGAATATCTGACTTGGCCATTATTTCCATCTGCGGAGTGCGCTGTTGCCAATGCTTTATACTAAACTTATATAGCACTTTGTGGTAGCGGACCCAGTTGAGGAGGATTGCGCAATCTCCTGCATATCTGCGATGGATATTGAAACCAGAGTTGACGATCTTCATGCAGCCTTCGAAGTATACAGACCAATCATTGGTCTTGCCACTCTGGCTCAGAACCTAAGACACAACCCACAAGGTTAGAATCTGTATAAAGATTTGTAGGACAACAATCTTATCATGCCTTACCTCGTACAACGTCAAAAGCAAGCTGGTGGCAATAGCCTGTGGTCGTGATTTATTATCGAGACCTTGTGTGAGGGCACCTTTAAGATACGAGATTGCAAGAATCTTGTATCTCAGAGCCTCATTGGACTTGTGTAGCGACAATAGCGAAATCGCATTCATAGAGTGGCGGAGAGAAAGAGATGGCACGGTGTTATCACCAAGCGACATCCGGTACAAGAGTCCGCATACATCGTCATGAAACTGGCCTGATGTAACAAGGCGGATAGCCGTTGGCAACTGAGGCCCATCTGTAATGTCTCAGTACATCGAAGAACAATTCCGAGAGTTACGTCTCAAAACAGGCGAAGTCTGACTTACAAAAGCCAAGTTTTGATGACCATATGGATTGACTAGGTGATATCGATGGCGGTGTCCAGGCTCCCATGTGCTGCACTATAACTCAAGATCAGACAAGGGGTTGAAAGAGCAGGATGGAAACCCGCCGAATTCACTTACAGTGCGCTCCCGTATCAACGTGCTCGCGATACAGGCTTACATCCCAGCTAGATGTATTTAAGAACACGACGGGATTGGCTCGATATCTGCCCCGGCTCTGGACGTTGGCCATGGCCGCTCGGCGTTTGTCGCCTTTCCGTGGCCAGGATAGATTCTCACTGTAACCTGAGCATGTCTTGCCGCGCATCTTGCAGGCCGTGCACTCGGGCAGTGCCTTATCGCATGCGATCTTCAGTACTAAGGAGGGTTAAGTTAGTCTAAGCTCATCCAACATAGCATCATGCCTCTCGCGTCGTCGTTGTCGCCGCCAGAGTCCAGGAGATTTGTGTCAAAACCCCCCATCACGTAAAATGGCCGACGCTAGAGATGAAATGAAAATCTCACGTACTCCGACAGCTGGTACAGGACTTTTTCGCCTGCGTGGTGTGGCCAGTGGTGGTGCATAGTGTAGCCATCTTGATTCGCTGTACTTTTTGCGCTGGACAAGTTCGAAAGCTATCTCGATAGAATACAGGAAGGCTGATGGATCGATGGACTTTTTGATGACAGCTCACACGTCTGAGTCTCGTGTTTGAATGTCCGATTGATTAGAAGGCTAAGCCCGGAGTGGAGTTCCCGAGCCAAAATCTTCAAGCCACCGTCAAAGTTGCTGCACAAGTTTATGTCAAGAAACTGACACTGTACACAGCGCGATGTCATGTGACTCGTAGCGCTCTTGAGCCATTGTTTACCTTAGTCATAAGCCAGAAGATGGTCGCAACGCTCTCTCTGTATCTGATATGCTTTCGTGATTCTGAACTCTTGGAAAACATCAAGGTTGGCGAACCCTTACACTTTTGAAATAAACCTTTTCGATTTCGTATTCATAATTCACTGAATTATCGAAATTTCCCTTGCTACGGGATACCATATGTATCAGCTCAGACCTTGACATGTATATCTAGTAAGAGAGGACAGCGCACTTATCAGATCTATCTATTAGATGGGCATTATTATCTACTGAGACGTATGTATACCACCTCTCCGCAGGATAAGAACGAAAAATATTTATAATCCGAATTACATTCTCCATGAAGATATATTCTGGTCCAAAAAAAGACTACACTGGAGAATCTTGAGTTAGTATTTATGTTACTACAATGATTGCCGGGTAGCGTTAGACCCTCAACACGACGGTTTGCTTATCTGCAGAGGAGCCATGTCATATCCCGCAATTCAAAAGCGAGAAGCTTTATATATTTCTGCAAAAACCATCTTCGTAAATTGAGTTAGAGTTATGCATTCGTTTGAGGCAAGTTTTATTGCTCTCATACTTTTACGGACCTCATGTTCTATCGTCGCTTCTCGACCCATGGGTTGATGCACTTCAACGGAAACTTCTAATAATTCCCGGTTTATACCCCAAGCCCTGGCCAGGATTTCTACCACTCTCTTGAAAGCCGCATCTTGCCATTGCTTTCCGTGTCTAACCAATTCCAATGTGACCGTTGTAGCCTGGCAGCCATTAAAAGACCTCTGTCCCGTCATTCTTACTCTTCGTGATGAAGCAATGGGATCCATAGCTACCACTAGAATGTCAATCAGATATATTTTTGTATATTACGAGCTGCCGGCATACATCGCGCTCAGTTCACCACGTGCGCGTGCTTGGAGCGACAAAATGATGAATTGGAACTCTTTTTAACTGCATATCCGTTTTAAGAATTTACTGGTGATCGTAGATATGGCATAGCTGCTCACCCTTCTAAAAATGCATTTTAATTCTTGGAAACTGAATGTTTAATGCGAGAGCTGGAAGAGTTAGACAATGTGCGAGTGCGCCCAGCAACACAGGTTCATGCCTTCGGTCGTTGTATCTTTACTGCGGATCAGATTCACTTGCACCTTCTATTGTGTGGTTATTGGACGGTCTTTGTGAAGTTGTTTTCTGGATTCCTCTCGAGTAAGGACTTTTGGAAAGTATGCTGATTTGTGTGGCACGTTGTTGTTCGTGCAATAGCGATTCAGCAGCTCTTGAAACTGTTGATGATATCGATATCGAAACCAGCAAGGGCGCCCTCGCTTCGCCGAGTGGAAGAGAACCTACTGTATACCTATGCTTGTCAAATATCTACTAAGAGCAATTTCTTCATTGCCATCAGGTGTTGTCTTTTGGTAAGAAATCTGGATGGTTCAACCATGGCATGGGCACAACGGCAACATCCTGCAAGAGAAATAATTAGCCAACATGATTCAACCAAAGATCCACCCTCGCTTCCTTGGTGTAGAGCTTCGCTTATCGCGCTACTAATTGGAAGAAAGCAGTTTCTCTTTTCTGAAGCATACTTCGGCGAAGGGAACGATTATAGTAGTTTCTTCCGTTATAACCTGGCTTGGACTGCTGCAGTTACTACATGTATGGTATTGATATTAACCGCAATGCAAGTTTGTGTCGCGATAAACGGCTCCAAAACAGCCCTGTCTTTCTACAGGCATAATATGTCTTCACAATGCTGGCATTTTTGGGGCCTGTAGACACAGTTAGTCTGGAATCTCTGCGCCGTAATCTGGCTTACCAAAAACTGACGGTTGATTTTTAAGCAAGAGAAGAACCAACCATAATGCCGTATTAGCCTAGATATTTTGATAGCAATTTATATAATGCAGCGTTGGCGAGCAGTTGGTATCCGGCTCTCGCAATATTTCGGAAATCGACCCACCAGATATCTCGTCATTGTGAAGAAGCTAGTCGCATATGTTCATCTGCCACTGCCATGTCGACGCAAAAATCTCCGGGAAACGGGAAAGCGTTCCGGAGTCCTGAGTTCCATGGTAGCACATCTCCGGGAAAGGGTTCCGTAGCTCTGAGTTCCATAGTAGCAAGTTGCAGCCTGGATGCTGGGTATATGAGACTAAAACTTCACTCATATCCAGTCATACTTCGCTTCTCGTCTTGGCATTGCACAAACAGGTTTGAGGATGCTGGAAAGTATTTAGGCAATTCAGTTTATGTACAGAAGAGGGCGTACTCGTATGTATTTAGCTTCCACCGAAAAATATCATCGCGTCATGGGCGCCTCTTGGGTATCGATTCGTATTCTAGACACGAGGCTGTACGATACTCGTCATTGTACAGGCTTATAAAAACATTCAAGGAAAGAGTCTGCGACTTAACATTTGGTAGTTATCTCCGAGAGTGGAACGATTATATTAATCTCCTGGTAACGTTTGAGCCGCTGTATTACCGCTAATATTTCCCCGCGCCTGTGCCTTATCAGATCATCACCGGTTTAGTATATCTGAAAATGGGAATCAGGTTAACCACAATGAAATACCTTCCACTTTCGGCGCAACTGCCATAACGTTACAGGGAAAGTTGCATGATTCGCATATATTTACATACATATAATATACAGTTTTGTCTAGCTACAAGTGGAAGCTGCTCAACAATTTTGCAAGCGAGCTTTAAGAGGCGACAAATTTAGAAGATTCCACAGGATGGCGATGTGCGAGATTATCACAGCTCGAGTATGTGAATCAAATGTGTGCGCCGTCAAGTCACCTCATGTATTCAACATTTGTAAATGATTTGAGATTTACTCTGCAGTACACAAGCCAGTTGCTCTTCTGGGCGAGCTGCCCTTCTGCTTCAATTTGCACTTGATATGTCTACCTTATCAACACCATCTATAATTGAGGTTGCATCAGCATTAGTTGATGCGCAAAGCATCACCGATTGGGAATTGCTGTATTCTCCGCATGCAGAACACCCTGGCCCGCGTGAATATACCGATGCAGGTTTTAGCTCGTTAATCGCGCCCAACTCGACTACGTCTCTACCCGACGGTAGTGGTACAATGTATCTATCACCAAACTTCATGCGCCTTCTAAGTCGTTCCGTGAGTTGACTAGAAGTATAAGAAGCTCAAGAAGCCAACCTCATTCATACCATTTCTCCCTAGAGCTCCAAACAAATACTATTCTAGCTCCTCATTTAACACGAAAAAGAGTAACCCAATTCCATCATGTCTTATAAGTTGATGGCAACTGCCTTGGCTTTGGCCGCTGGAGTCTCTCAAGTTACCGGACAGCTCTGTGCCCAGAACGTTGTGACCACGACCGCGGGTCTCACATTCTACCTCTATGACGACTCTATCCCCTCAAACAACTTCAGGCCTCTTCAACTTAGGCCCAGCAAGGATGGCCAATTCAGCTATGTCGCTCTGGACAACAGCTCTCCCCCGCTGCTTGCCAACCTCGACAATGGCGTTCTTGTCAGTGAAGGCCAGAACTCTGATGGTACCATCTTCGACTTTGGCCCCAAGGGTTTCTTACAAAACTACACGGAAATTCCTCTTTTGCACCCTACTCTTGTGGGCCAACTCGCCTTTGCCAACACTTCGTCATTTCCTAATGCCTCGGACTCCAACTGGCTCCTAGGGCCATCAGGGGGCACCAACACGTACAACCTTTGGCACAACGAGCCCGTTAACACTCTCAACGGTATGCAGATCTGCGAGGCTGATTTCGATCTCAACGAAGACGGTACTCCATGGTACTATTTCCAATATGTCGATTGGGTCACCTACTACCCACCCGAATGCGAATTTGTCGCAATTTTGACCAACGTTAGCTCCGTTGATCAGCCAACATGTTAAGTTCACTTGGAGACACGTCAAATACGGACAAAAACCACTCAAACGAAGGACCAAGTTGGGAAGGATAAAATAGGAATGTCTGAAAAATTGATCTATAAATCTTTACATATCTGCATGGATAACGGCATTTGTATCTTATAATAAGTTAATATCGTATGATACAAAATAGAATACCATGAGATATAATATCTGCAAAGGCCGAGAGCCTTAAGAGCTAACGATTGATGGAATGCATCAGGTTAGCTAATTGTGAAAATATGCGTTGTAGATATGGCTACTTCTAGCCTATGGACACGTATAAGCATACACCCCAGCATTAGGAGCCAAACATGCAGCTCATCATTCCTATTGCTACAATATCTGCAAGAAAGCTTCATATTTCAATTTAGTAGGGGCATACAGATAGAAGTATCAATTCATCCGCCACCATACTCAAAAGGACTATTAGGTTCTGCTTCATATATGTACAACGTGCTGCTTCTCGGATCTGGAAGCCAGTAAAACCGCAGCTTTCCATTTTCCACGCTCACATCCATCGGGTTTTGTGTCATTCTCACCCCGAGCGCACTCTGAAGCATGATTGGCACTTCAGCCAAAGGCTGCATTGTTTCAGTATGAACCAACGCAATCCCACCCAGACTGTATCCGCCATCCAGCGCAGTCACCCCAGAGCAAAGCATTACGCTTGCGCCTTTGTAAAATTCACTTCGTCCCAGCCATTTACAATCCTGATAGTCGACAAAATAGCTCGGGTTGCGGGTTGTAGATTGAGGCTTTTTGGTAGAACAATTGTCTGCCACTCCATCTTTGAGAGTCCAGACAGTTGCATTTCGGCTTCCCCAGTTGAGTGTCGTGAGTCTGCCCTTGGTGGTATCGTGGACGATGCCACCCAGATGATCGGTGTACCGTAACACGATCTGTGGCTTCAAGGTATAAGGGTCCGCCTTATAAACATATGCTGTGCTGTTTGGCCGATACTGCGCAATCGTCCCCCGAATCTACCGTCCGTCGTAGTCAATCCCGCCGTTGTGGTACTCTTCTTCTCCCTCTCTTGTGATTGTCGCGTCGGCAATCCGTTCTCCCTTGCCATTATACGTCATCAGGTGGGCAAAACCTTTTCCTGGCGTCCGATCGGTGCCATTGATGGGATGAGGATACTTTTGCGTATGCTCCGTGTACTCTCCACAGCTGACCACATAACGATCTGGACCCAAGCGGACCAGACCTTCGGGTTCAAAGGTGTCGCCCTGGAAGCTAATGTTTGCGATACTCTTCCAGATAGTCGTCCTTCCGAGGTGTTGAAATAGTTTAATAATTGTTTCTCCATCAGAGGCCGCGTGTGAGGGAGGAAGTGGAGACGGTGCTAAAGGTGAGTCGCTATGGAGGGTGATGTTCAGAGGGACTGTTGGAAAAGGCGCGCATGTCGCCGTTTCTTTGGATATTTTCTTTCCAATAGCTTCTTCAAAATGAAACCAAAAACCCAAATAAGGAAAAATAATGGCGAAGATAAAGATGAATGTAGCGACCAAGGTGAAAATTGAGATATTCACCCTCGAAGGCTTATGCATGGAGTTGGCCGATCGGATCGGGCCCGCGCTGACTTGGTGTTGAGAATTGGAGCTGTCATTATTACGAGGCATGGGCTACTGATTTCCATGTAAAGCAGGGCGATGACAGCAGGGAGGATGCAATCATGCATAAGTGTATACGAAGATGCGTGCTAGAGACTCAGGCTGAATAGCTTGGGCGAGTCTTTGGAGAGAGCCGTCATCACGTGGCGTCATATCAGTTTCGTGCGGCTCTGTTTGCCTGTGTTTTTCCCATTTTAACTTGAACATGCAACTATTAACATTAATACAAAACTATAATCTCACGCGCTTCTGCGGCTGCAGTATGCAGACATAGAAGTAGCTACGGTGACGTCTGTACAAATCCTTCAATTCCTGCGTTATGGTGAATATGGCAGTGATTGGTGTACTGGATTAGAACTACAGAGCATTTCCTGCTGCAGTTAGGCACCTATCATCTACTCAACACAGCTTCTAAGACAATGGCGAACTCGCCGCTCCATCATTGAAAGCGACGTCCAATCACAGGCATGAAGCTCCCATGTCAATTGCGGCTGCAATCTTGCGGCAGTGCAGCTCGCGTTTCTTCTCCAGCTCTTGTCAAATGCGCCTTATTCATTTTGCTGCCTTACGTAAAGTCGACGCGTTCTCATCGCAGCCGCCACAAGCCAACCAGGCAGCTTCATTTCTCGAAACCCGGCTGCCTAGCCTGGGCTTTAGCTGCCTTATCTCTCAGCATAGACGGGTTGAGCTGAGATGAAGAAAGATACTACATAAAGCTACAGCTTTGTATGAAGAAAATCTGCTCATCTATCTAATTCCTCATTCAAATGAAGACACAATAGCCATGGCACAAGACACATCGTTTAACCTCCCTGGTCTTCCTTTTGAGATCCGCGCTCTCATTTGGGAGGCCACTCTACCCCCTGCGCGAATCTTTCACGTCAAAGACACGACAATGACCAGTCGGCATAGGATCTTCACCTTCCACCGGAAACATCCCCCGCCAATTGCACTCCACATATGCGCCGAGTCCCGGGCCGCCGCTCTCCGGAATGGAGGTTTCTTTCTGGCTCCAGAGCCCGGCACGGGGCCTTGGTTCAACCCGAAGCGAGATATTTTGTACTTTGATCGCAATCAGCGGCACATACTCCGCACCAAAGATGGCCACTCATGGATCTGCGGCTGGGAAGAGGTTTTACACGTGGGACTGGAATGGCGGGCTTGGTTCCGAGACGTTCCGAGACAGACGGCGCCTGGAGATGAAGATATTCGGCGCCATTGGCGCAACGTCGTCAGAGGTCTTTACTTTCATATGCCCGCACTGGCGGGCATTCACTATGTGCTCCCGCGCGTTCGTCACAAGGGAGGAGTGACCTGGGGTCGCGAACCTTACAAATCCGAGCAGTATGAGACACAGCTGGTGCATTTACCAAAGGGAACGGAGATTCCATGGGCCGGTGCGGGTATGGGAATTCGAAATGCGGTTCATAATGGTGCAGCCGCGGGAAATGCAGCCCCAGGAGTAATGGTCATACCTGGAGCAACGGAAGGGAGCAGGACAATGTTGACTATGACGACGTGGGGGGATATTAAAGCTGATATGGAGAGGGCATTGGAGGAGGAGTTGAAGGGAGATGAAGATGAGCAAGTGTCAGTGCTGGATTGGACCCTGGCAAATGAAGACAATGAGGAGGAGGACAACAGCAAATGCGTGTTTCCGGGTAATCGGCTGCCAGAAGTCGTGGGATGGTGGCTTCTGAGACAAGATGCACCACGCGAAGCTCACCCCAGCGTTATAGAGTTCTTTTTGTAGCGCAGAGTGGAATTATATGTGCTTCTTTGCTCATCACATGTCTGTCAAACGGCGTCTTTGACAAACCAACCAGCCCAACAGTGGCGTGATAAGAATAACTCATCGTGACCTTTCGTTTGTCATTCCTTATTCAAATATTGGTGATACAGAGTGTCTCACACTCACACTACAAATTCATGTCAAGAACAAGCTATTACTATACGCACACTAGACTATTGCCTTCCTGAATTACCGATCCGCCGGTTCGCAGCACCAACAGCAAACCATCAGCTTATTTCTTACCATGAAGCGGCGCTTACACACATCTATAGCCTGAAAAAATAAGGACTAAACAATGCCTAAGGGCAAACTTACTGCAGGCACGACATACAAAAGTGATTCTATTTTAACTCAAGAGGGCGGTAATGAAGTTTAAAATTGAGCCTAAAATTACAACAACAAACAAACGAAGGGAAGAGAGGAATCAGAATAACTGGACGTATTCAGTACCGAAATTAATTGCCGTTTGCATGGCCAATGCTTGCCGTCATCATCAAAACAATGGCAAACTCCCAACATTGAATCATCCTTCAGGCTGGATCGGCGGTCGCCGCAGCACCTCACCAGGCTGCAAAAGAGCCAAACCTTTGTTCAAATTCGACGAATGATACTATTTAAGGCATGGATAATCAGCTAAGGAGATTCTTCACTAAGAGGAGTAGCTGCAGTTTTGCTGCGCTGGCGCGCTTATGAGGTGCCAAGTTTGCTAAATCCTGCGAACGAAACGAGCTGAAAGCGGATCGCGATCCACCAGATGCAGGTGGGCTTCCACACGGTCCCAATCAAGGCTTTGCAACCAACACGCATGCTGTATCTCTGATTGTTTTGTTTCGCTGGCCCGATTCCAGGGAGGCGGGCGTGCAGGGGCCAGATGCCGCCGGATGACGCCTATCGCAGCTTCTATCCGTATACGAGTGTTGATCTGAGACATGACAAGGCTAAGTCTTCGCCGAAGAGCCGTGGATTTGGGTGGTAAGACTGAGACATGTTGGCCGAATATAATATGATATAACGTGCCCTTCCCTTGTGTTCTCGACGCCATTGTCTCCAGGGAACAGACCATCCTGATCGATCTGCTCAACTCGCAATGGCGCGGCTGTCCACGCTCTTCTTCCTTCTCCTTGCGCAGTTGCTATCAGCATGGGCGCTCCCAGCCTATGTTCCCCCCGTGCGGGTGCGTGAGTTTAACTTTACTCTGACATGGGCAAAGCACGCTCCAGATGGCTTCTCACGGCAGATGTTCTTGATCAATGGTCAATCGCCGGGCCCTACCATCGAGGTTGATCAGGATGACTGGGTCGTTGTGCGTGTCAAGAACCACTCACCTCAGAACACTACCATTCACTTTCATGGTAAGTCAAGTATGATATCTTATTGGCGAACAATGCTAACTTCCAAAGGCATTGAGATGTTTGGCACGCCGTGGGCCGATGGTGTCCCTGGACTCTCTCAGCTGTCCATTCCCCCTGGTGGTCACTTTGTCCACGAATTCGCAGCAACCCAGTATGGCAGCTTCTGGTACCACTCGCATTTCCACGGGCAGATTGAAGATGGTCTCTATGGCCCCATCATCATTCACCCTCGCTCACAAGACCCAAAGCCTTTCCATCTGATATCTTCTGATCCCGATGCTATCGCGGCTATGATTGACGCTGAACGTAACGTCAAGCCTCTTGCCATTGCAGACTTTAACCACTTCACATCTCAAGAGAAGTGGAACATTGCGCTGGCCAGTGGTGTTGAGGACTCATGCTATGATTCCATTTTGTTCAATGGCAAGGGACATGTGCAGTGTCTTCCCAGTGCCGAAGTCTCGGCCAACCTAAGCGATGATCAAAAGGCCTTTTTAAAGATGGGCAATGTAACTGCCATGACTGACAAATCGTACGTTGCATCTTCCCCAAGTGATACACCTATCAGTACTAATGCAAGTTTAAATAGATGCCTGCCTCCTGCGGCGCTCGCTGCATTGGGTAACCCGGCCCAAGCTAATCTCACTGCCATTCCGGCTGGAGCCTTTTCCGGCTGCAAGGAAACCAAAGGTGCAACTGAAGTCATCCAGGCACAACTCTCGTCGCTTCCCACTCATCAGTGGCTTGCAATAAACATCATCGGCTCTATCAACTTCATCACATCGATGGTGTCTATTGATGAGCATGACATGTGGGTGTATGCCATGGACGGATCATACATCCATCCCCAGAAGGTGCAGGCCCTTGTTCTCACCAATGGCGATCGATACAGTATCATGGTGAAGATCACCAAGGCTGGAAAGTTCAACATTCGCTGCAATGCCATCAGTATTCCACAGGTGCTTGTTGGAAGTGCCGTCTTGGAAGTACAAAGCAACTGCGGCAAGACTTATGGAAGCGAGTCGAAGCCGTTCATCAGCATTACAGGAGTGCCGTTGTCAAAGAACGTAACGTTATTCAACCAAGCCACAGCGGCGCCGTTCCCACCAGAGCCAATTGCACAGAAGGCCGACGTGACGTATAAACTCAACATGAAGCTTGACGGTGCTTCATACCTTTGGGCCTTGAACTCATCTCGTCTCATGCCCAGCACCCTCGACAGCTCTAGCGAACCACCCATCCTATTTCGGCACCCGGAACCTGTGCAGAACAATGTGACCATCTCAACCTTTAATGGTACATGGGTTGACCTTGTCCTGTTCGCAAGCACAGTACCAATGCCGCCTCACCCAATTCACAAGCACAGTAACAAAATGTTCCAGATTGGCGCCGGCGAGGGCGAATTTACTTGGGATTCTGTCGAAGAAGCAATCAAGGAGAAGCCAGAGCTTTTTAATCTCGTGAACCCACCCCGGAGAGACAGCATCGCATCGCTGCCCGCCATCACCTCCAAGACGTGGACTGTGGTGCGATACCAAGTTGTAAATCCAGGTGCGTTGCTGTTGCATTGCCACATTAGCAACCATCTTTTAGGAGGCATGTCTATTGTTATTCGAGATGGTATCGACAAATGGCCGACAGTTCCTGACAAATATTTGGATTGGAAATTTTGAACATGGAAGTAATTTGGAAGGGTTTCATAACAAAGCTAATGCAGTAAATGTAATAATCGCTTTCTAACTTGCGTTGTGTTATATTTTGGTCCATGCAGCTTGCGAAACGTGTACATGTATTGCTCGTGTTTGGCTATGGGTATGGTTTGGGAAAGCCTAATAATGAATCGCAGGGGAATAGGTAATAAACAAGAGACAGCGAGGTGAAGAGAAATGAAAAGTGTAAATAAAGAGTATCATTGATTCCAAATTTGACGTAACAACATAAACCTAATGAAGCAACATGGTCGCTAGCTCTGGCTCCCATAGCTGAATATCTCGAGAGTATAGAAAGCATCCGATCTTCGTTTATCAAACCACTCCAACTCCGAAAGTCTAAGAAAAAAGAAAAATTAAAATCCCATGGCCCACACCTTCACCTTTTTTCGACTAGATGTAAGGCTTGATCTGAGCTTCAGTCCAGTCCCAGAAGCTGGCGGCAATGCCAGTGCCTCCTTCAGACTTGGGAATGGAGCCCGCAATCATCTCCTTGGAGACGTTCCAGAACTGACCCCACGGGGCGACTGTATCTCAGTTAGCTATCTGTAGTCGTATAAAGGATTAAATGAGATTCCTTACCAAAAGAGCCTGACTTCTCAAGGGTGACTTCAGGAGAGAAGGCAGCGAAGAGGTTGGTGTAAGCACCGTAGATGGGAGGATACAGGAGGGTCTTTCGCAGGATGCAAGTCATCAATTTGCCCTGAGTACGCCAGAAGTCGGAGTCGAGGTTGCCGGGGTTCAGAGGGATGGAGACAACACCAGCAGCCTTGTAGCGAGCAGCGAACTCAGTAGCGTGCCAGTAGTTTCCGAGCTTGCTGACGCAGTACTGCTCGAAAGCACCCATCTTCTCAATCTTGGAGAGGTTCTCAACGTAGTTCTTGGGAGCAATGGCCTCGGCGGCTGAAGAGGAAACCCAGATGACGCGAACGGAGTCTCTTGGTGCTGTCTTGGCGGTCTCGACGAGGGCAGGAGTCAGAGTCTTGGTGAAGGTGAATGTTCCAAGGCAGTTGACACCCAGCTGGAGCTCATAGCCTTGGCTGGTCTTGCTGCCAGGCTCGGGGTATCCAACACCGGCATTGTTGAACAGCAAGTGGAGGTTCTTCTCGCGGCGCAGAAACTCCTCAGCTGAGGCCTTGGCGCTTGGGATATCGGAAAGATCAAGCTTCAGGTAGATAAGTTCGCCAGCAGACTTGGTGACCGTTGACTTGATGCTGTCAATGGCGGTCTTGGTCTTTTCCTCAGATCGTGCCATCATGTAGACCTTGGCATTCTTGGAGTAAAGGACCTGGGCCATAACCTTGCCCAGACCAGTGTTGGAGCCAGTGACAATGACAGTCTATCAATTTCAGCATTAGCGATAATGTAAGCGGAAGCAAACAACGAAAGATATTTTACACACCTTTCCCGTCAAATCTGGGACATCCTTGTCCGTGAATTTGGGGGCGCCCGGGAAGGACTGTTTCATAAAGCTCATAGTACCAGGCATTTTGGCGAGATTTGTTGCCTTTTTTTTATGGGGAGCTGGTTTATAGTGTTGGCTCTTGCGTCAATGGCGAATTGGAACGTAGCACTTTGCGCCTTGCGGATTGGGCTTTTACTGGGCTGTGTGGCTGTTGATGGAGAAGTTTGGGAGAATCGGACCAGAGCAAAGGACTAGCACCCAGCTCATTATATATGAATTTTTTTTCTTTTTTTTAACATCCATTCATCTTATCTATGCCGTTGGGTCGCTGTCATCATCACAAGCATTTGTGGCGCTCTTTGGGCATAGTCACGGATTCTGAGCTCCGTGCCCGAGAGGATTCCTGGCCTTTGTGGAGGTGCGGACAACGCGGGGTCCGAGAAGAGCTTAGATGCAGAGGATTCGGAGATACGGAGTGGACACGCCTGACAGGGGAATCAGCCAATCCGATCCGTCCTGCGGCAATTGACGCTGTGCTCGCAAAATATTAATCCTACCACACCATTTTCAAGATTGTCCGGCGCCAAGCATGCGGGACGATTTGACGGCATTAAGGGACCTTGGCGCCGATACCACCGCAAGTCCTTTGTGCGAAGGGAGAACCGAATACGGTACCTATACGAGTACATCTCAAGACAATCTACGGAGTAATCTCCTTGATGATCTGCTCTTAGTTACTGCCAAGAACCACGAGCGGAGCTTTTAGGTTAATGAGGGCCGTCAAAGTCCATCTTCTCATGCAAGGGTCTGTGAATGCCATGACGGCAGCTGGGCGCTAGCCGTTGTGGATTCGGAACACATCAACTTTAAACTACGAAACTAGAGTGGCATATAGTATAGCTACATGTAATCACTAAGTTATAGCTAGCTCTTGACTATCTTTAGAATGCAAAAAATGTTGAAGCTAAGAGAGCTTGAAACAAATCCACCATGTTTAGTGTGGTATATCGTCAACATCGCCGGCGATAGCATTGTAAGTGAACAACATATTCAAGTAAAAATGACATTAGCTTGACATAAACGTGAAATTAAGCTTCTTGATAATTCATCTTTTTTCTCTTTAATCAACCTCATGGCCTCCATCATTCTCTACTCTAAGAAAAGGAAACTTGGTACCAACAAGATAGTAAATGCATTAACAAATTCAACTCATCCAACTCCTGTACACATTATCATGGCAAAAACGCTGCTCATCTCAAATTCATCAGTAGAAACTTTCCTTCTAGCACTAACGTCTTCTTTCTCTATAGTGCAGCTCCGGTGGATCGCGATTCCAGTTAATCTTTCCGTAGAGCAGTTGTCAACTAAACTGCTAAAGCATTTTATGCGCTAATGGATAATTCGGAGATCGTAGTCGTGATTCGAATCTCGTTGTTAAGACTCTTCTTTTCATCATAGTCGTCTGGCTTCACTTTCCATTCCATCAATCCATTCGTAAAGCCGATGGAGGGCAAAAAGTTGAGCTTTGGACCTGCAGAAAGGTATCCACCCATGTGATCCGCAAAGAGCCTATCATTGGCAATGGGAAGAATCCAGTTGGCCAAAAGCTTGTGAACTGGCGTGGCATATGTATGCATCTTGGCGACCATGTTGCTGATATCCATGAGCTCTCTCATTCGCTGCTTCATCTCCTTTTCATACGCCGCAAATGCATGACTCAAAGCTGTCCCGCTTGGTTTCGGTCCCTTGGTAGTCTGCATAATGTTGTGGATATTGTTAATCACTCGAGTCACTCCCTCGATGGCAGAGTTTCCACCCAGAGCCATGTTTGGATGAACTTTGTGGACAGCATCACCGGCTAGCACAATTCTGCCGTGGTGCCAGTGATCCATCACGCATTCCTCAAGAGAGATGACAACGGCTCGAGTACGGCGTCTCCAAACTTCTCCGAAAAGCAACTCTTCAGTGACGGGTTTATCCATGATAGTCTCGGCCAGGAGCTGAGCTTCCTCCTCCGTGTGGCGTTCACGGTGAGGCCAGGTGAAGGGCTTGTCGAGAGCAAAAATGACAAAAAAGTAAACAGCGTGTGGCTGGGATGTTGCGAGGAATGTGATTCCACTGTTGTAGGTCACAGTAAGGTAGCTATCGCCAAGCTCAGGCATGGGTGGCGTTGTCATTGCCAGAGTCTTCCAGGATGTTTTAAGGGCTATAGTGCCTCAATGTTAGTATAATTAAAAGAGAACATTACAGCATACGGATGATGTATCAACATACAAGTCTTCTCTGTGTTTGGTATCAAGCCAGGGGAAGTTTTCCCGGCGTGTTGCCACATCAAGGTCCTCATGTGGCTGTGGACACCATCGCAGCCAAGCACCATGTCCCCAACTTCAACACTGCCATCCTTGAGCTTAACTTCAACTCGGTCCGCGAATTGCGCTACATCTTCGACTCCGGCGTTCGTCCTGATGAATGATTTGTCTGGTAGTCCGTCGTAGAGAATTTGTAAGAAGTTTTGTCGTTCTAAGGGATAAAATCCAATTCCATGGCTGGCAATAGTTAGATTATATCCAGTAGTTTGCAGTGGTATTTTCAGCACATCATATTCCTAAACTTACTTCTTTTCGACGTGAGTATACAAAAGATTGTCGTGAATCAGTCTTCCAGATGGATCTCGAGAGCAAAACCGGGAAATTGGGACAGAGGCCTTTTGGATTGCAGGAAGGTAGCCTAGTTGATGTAGAACACGAAGGCCATGTGGCCACATAGAGATACCTGCACCAAGAGGAGGTGCAATGTCGGAATACTTCTCGAGAACAACATGGTCGACACCGAGCCTCTGAAGGGCGTTAGAAGCAACTATTCCAGCCACTCCACCACCCACGACAATGATCCGGAAAGGGCGCTCCGCTTGGTCCACCATGATTAGTGAAGCAGGACCTTCTTCTCAGTCAATAATATTCGAGATCGTTGTTCGATGGTACTAGTTGTTGGCCGTCAAAATTTGACACTCGGTTGTCGGGGTTGATGTTCAAAAGGGGTGGCTCGGAGGATCGGCCTTTCGAAGAGACAGAATCACAACTCATCAGCGGAAGACGCAAATATATATTGAAGAGGGGAACAGAGTTCCATTGGTTGCTACGATCTATTCTAGAGGGGCTAGATCTAACTAACCACTTCGATACACAACATCCTATGAGGGTGTTGCCAATATGATGATCTCGGCCCGCTTTGGCGGAAGGAGTCTACCACCGCGCGGGTGCATGAACCAACGAAGAGTTACAGATCTACTACCATTGGTATAGCTTCATGTCACTGCTACGGTTCAATTCTTGTCTGTAAGCTGAGGTAAGGCCATCTATGGTACCAGAAAACCCACGGCGCAAGGACAGTCTCTCATGATTCTCGGGGTGTATATCCCGACGTCCGCTATGGGCCACTTGTAAGAGTATCCCAAAAGTTATAGCAGGCTGTTTCTACGTAAGATTATGTGGTTTACATAGCACCGCGATATCTTTAAATACGGACTTTAACATTGACGGAGGTCGTTCTTCCCAGGTTCTCGGTGTCCGGAATTCCGCACTCTAGAACCAACAGTCGTCGATGGTAGCCTCGGCATTCATCATACACCCATATCACTGATACCAGTAGGATCCTATTAGTGCTCCACGTGGTACGACCGGGTTTCCCGTAAGCTCGGCCAGATTTAACCCAATGAGGAGGCTGCAGAGAGACACACAAATATCGGCCGCAAAAGCGGCGTGAGAATCCTAATAGCTGCTCGGAGCGGAGTAACGGAGGAAAATATCCGACTGGATTTAAAGACTCAACAAAATAGCGACTTTTTTTTACGTGCATTTAGAGAAGTGGTTTACCCGAATTAGTAACTGCCTACATGCAGTTGAATACATGTATCTCACCACACTCCCCCCCTGCGGAGTCCACACCTTGATTTGCTATCTTAGGGCTTACCAGCAGATGATCATCACGCTACTCCGTACAACATCTGACATCTGTCTAAATCACTTCCTTGTCTCGCCGAGCAATCCCCTGTTTCCTCACTTTAGAAGTACCGAGTACGGCGAAAAACGCCTGATGACAAAATAGCATGGGGGCGACCCATTAAATAAGGACGCCGACAACCCCGGCATGTCTCATCTCATCCCCAAATGAAGTCATCAACTGTGGTCTGCCTCTTTACTAGAGATCGGGAACAAGAGAGCTGGGCCAGCTGAAAACTTGGGCAGTATGGAGGCGCGCTTTGTGTCTTTTAGTAGATTAGTTCATCGTTCAGCTTCATGCGGACATAGGACGGCTGAGTTTTTTATTGCCATCGGACGAAAGATAAATCCATATTAATTGAAGCTCCAGACTTTCCAACTCTTAGTGGGTTCCACCTCGGGCCGCACCTCCACACACCAATCCACAGCCATCCACACCATCTTGGCTGGAGTTTGCTAGCTGCCTCGTACCATGTCAGGCGCTTTGCCAGATTGCTCTACCTAGTACCTAGGCTTCTTTTAGGTCTTTGTTTACAAAAGATATTGTAATACAGAGCAGGCGCTGCTCCATACACAGCCCTGCTGTCGAGTACTGGAAGGAATGGAGCGTCAAAGTAAGCGCGGGAGCTGCGGCGTCGTTGTCTGGAAATTCATGATGGGGCTTGGAAGCACCACATATCGCAACGCAACAAGACTAGATGAGTAGCCTCATGTATAGGATATTCCAGAAAGAAAAGACTCCGAAAGGGAGTTTTTTTTTTTTTTTTTTCGTTCTTCTGTGATCTGTAGAGCCAAGTTCAATACCTGTAGAAAAGAACACTTCATCATTGGTTTGCTTAGCCTGTAAGTATATTCCAAGTTAGCATCCTACGTAAAGGGAATTTGTTACTAGGCAACTTTGGAAGGAGTAAGATCCTCATTCTGTCAAATCATGGACATGTATTACTTACGAGTACACTTATATTTATAGATAGCTCTTACTAGCCTTATCTCTCTATAACAAAGCCATCTTAGACCACAGCGAGTATCATTTCACGTAAGCAATGCGAGTAGTTTGTCAACAATTGATGTTCTCATGAATTCTGAGTTTCTATACATATCATACCATGAAGATACAAGTTCAGAAGCGTTGGAGCAAAAAGGTAGCCTGCAGAGGCTTTCTTCACCAACCACTCCCGAACTAGGATACAGATACCTAATCAAGCACGGCTGAGTAGATACGAGTATGTGACAATCAATTTGAACGGAATTTAGTCACGAGTACGCAAGTCAGCCTCGAAATGGTGACCAGCGTTGACTAGGTTGTGTCATTGGTCTGTTGGTTGCTGCCTGGAAAGGGGTACTGGACTGTGTTGGGGGTGCATCTCCTCTTTTTTTTACTTGGCGAATCGAAACTGGGCGGCTATCATTGATAATTCCCTAGTAACGTGGCAATGTGAATTCATTTGGTAAAGCATACAACCTCACTTCCCCTTTGCAGATCAGTTGTCGCCACCGTGACATTGCATGTGGGAAAGAACATCCCATATGTGTACCTCCGTTCTTACGATCTTGTTCTAGAACACCAATGTCATATCATATTGAAACGATTATAACATGTTCAATCATTTTATGGGAAGGTTATTATCGCTTTTCTTTGTTGACCTGAATAGGCGGCGACATAAAGGGGTTGCCCTTATAACTCTATTGCGCCTATATATGTGTGTTGATGTAATTGACTCATGAGGTAACGCCGCATTGAACATCTCTTGACAACTGATATCAATACTGTTAACTTTGACTCTCCATTTGATATTGTTTGTCTCCATGTGAGGTTCTAAGATAGCTTTGAGATTCCTATCTATAGTCATATCTATAGCAACTCTACCCTTTCTGACATGAAAACAGACAGAAGTTGGAAGACTTTTTACAAACAAACGGCTTGTGCGCCTCTATAGATGTTATGCAGTTTAGCAACTAATTACATAACCTAATTACATGAATGGGATATAGATCATCGATCTGCTGCCGGTTGCTTCAGTTTGTATACAAGATGCGAAGACGTCGACAGCGGTTGAAGAAGAGCAAGCTTTTTGCCGTTTACCAGGCCCACCATTTTAGTCTATTCCACTTAGTTCAACTTCATATCAACTCTTTGATACAAGAAACATAACCTGGACAGTAATAATGATGAAGCAGCCAAATATTAGTAGTATTCAGCAGCCTGATCCTTAGTGGTCATGGGCGCTAAGCAATACAACAACAACAAGCCAACTATTACTAAAGAAATTAACCTACACCCGCCACTTCGCTGCGCCCTTGTAAGGATACAGCTTTGTATATAATATATAATCGTAATCAGTATATTAGCGAAGCTCTATACATCATGCAAATAGATACAACGGTAGGCGTACAGTTCTCGATCGTCACTGTGGCTAATGCTCACGAAGTACTAGTTGCGCGATAGTCCATACGCTTCACATACGACAAGCGCATAAACTACAACACTTAATCTGGTTTTTTTTACATCATGCTATGTACGCGCGTCCTACTAGCCAGCAAGTAACTCCTACGAGCTGCGCCTCCTAATGAAGAACCATGTGATACGAAGGATTCAGAATCCTTCGGTCTGCGTTGATCGTGTAGCTTTCCGACGGCCGGAAATATCGGGTGCTTAGCGAGAGTCCGACTCGGAATAAAAAACTAGAAACCGAAAGATCTGCAATCCTGCAGAACTTATGTAATCGGGCTCCAGAGCCGCAGACAAAGAATGTATTGGTCTTTTATAGGCATTTTAGATGAGGAAAAGGCGATGGAGGTATGTCTGTTTTGATTTGTTAAAATGTCGTGCTATAACGGGCAAATGGTGGCACGCTGCGTATCACTTTTTTATCCTGTTATGGTGATGATAACAGCATGTACTCCATAACAGTGACACGTTCCCAGAATACTATACTAAGCACTAATTCTTGCTGAGGCTCGAATCATCGTGTAGTAGTCGTATCGCAGCTGCATTAGATGCCCTGTGCCCTGTAGGTGCTGCGTATTGTTTACGTTTTCAGAAGTCGAATTACCGAGGTTGTATCGAACAGATATAAGCTACGTATCCATGAAGAAACTCCCTTCTGCCACCCCCTCTTAAGCAACACCCCCTGCTTTCCCCATATCATTGCCCTGACTGGGCAATTTTGACAGAAAGAATAAGCATGGGCCAGCTGACATACTCTTAGATGATAGAAAGATAGGTGAGACTCCTCCGTTGAGCTTATAAATGTCCCCGGTCTAGTTTTGACGGAGACAAAACTTACACTTGACTCGCCATTAAAGCACAAGGTCTGTGCATGGGAGGGCATTTGGATGACGGTAGATCTCTAAGTGCTCTAGGGGTAAGAAGGAGACTAGTCGATTCCCGGGACAGCCGCATGAGATGGGTTTCAATTAGCGCGGAGCGTTGAACAGCTAAGTTACGGAATCGCGGAGGCTTACACATTACCAGATACAGCGGGTTTACTCCGTACGAGACTCGAGTCGGCCTAAAATACCTCCCGTCAGCAAATGAATCAAGGTGCCTAGTCGGAGTAGCCAAAATATCTATACCAAGAGCTCTGGCGCTTTGCGGACTAGCCATGTGTTATGAAGCATGCCCAAGACTACTGCAGTATAACGTACTACGGATACGCGGAGAATAGCTAGAGAGACCAATTTCCTGTGATTTGTATGGAGATAAGGATATCTGCGACTGAGTGGTATCTTCGATTCGATTCTATGTAAAGCTAGAGACTTTAGTACCCGTAGTAGAAAATAAGAAATAGTATGGTCTTATTACTATGCCGACACGGGGCCATCGGCCAGCCCGGTTCCAGCAGGTTACTGGAGATTGAGTCCTCTAGTATAAAATGGGAAATACAAATACAGGGAGTTGTGGCACTGCGAGAGATGGATGCAATAGTGGTATGTGTAGAGGGATTAAAAGACATTGACTAGGTATACACAATTCGTGATGAGGTCGAAATAACTCAGAAAAAGAGCGTAATATAAAGCTTTTTGCTTGAAAGGGCGGGAATTTCTTTTTGGGGGGCAATACGGGCTTTTGGCGCCTGTGGGTCTACACAGCATCTGCGCCATGTTGTTGACAACCCACTACTAGCAGTTTCATAAAAACAAGCTAACTGATGAAAGGCATTCCGGCTTAGGAAAAGAGTAAGCAATCATAGCAGGAGGATCTGCGACAGCCCCCCGGCGGTTAAATCTCGATCTGTTGTAGCCTTGATGGTGGGTAGAACTGGGCCTAAAATCTGGTGCTAGCATGACGATGCTGTCATGACGGGATCGGTCATTTCAAGAGAGGGGACGTCCATTGGAAAATCCCTTAAGCCGGGAGATTGGATGAAACTGAAACTGGAGCTGGAGCCCTTACAAGTATGCTCCGCAGTGAAAATATGCATGCCGACCATTGCGCCATGGCAGCCACGGAGCATGAAATGGCAAGGTGACATCCTACCAGAAGGATGGGATCTGCCACAGGCTAATCTCCAGGTTGATGATTATGCAAACGGGTGGCATTGAGGGAGGCAGATCCCAGTCAAAGACACGCCCTTGCAGTTGAATGGCGGGCCATGCTAAGCACAATTACAGTATCTCGTTTAAGTCGGCTGAGGCAGGATTCTTGCTATTTCTTTGTCAGAACTGCAGTGCTACCTCTTACCGCCGCCTAAGATAGCTGGCAGCATGTTTAGCGCTCAAAATCCACTATTTTAGGCAGTGTGTTGCTGTGTATGTAAATAATCCATATCCATTGATCCATGGATCGGTAAAAGTATGTGCTGAAATGCCCGAGAACTTGCTTTTGCTTCGTATCTTAGTGCGTGTGATTGGTCTAATACCGAAAAGATACTACACTGAAACCTTTCATGAGATACGGGTAAGCACCAAGCTGAGGGTTACGACGTGATGGAATTATTGATAGCAGCATGGGATTGCTGCATTGGCAAGGTTGCTCTGCTTACATGTGAGCATTAGTTTGTCGGCTCGCGCTGCATCCTCACAGTCGTCATTGTCTTGGCGTATTGGAAGACAAATGATCAAGTCCGCCGGAGTTCTCCAGCGCTCTGGTTATCATGAGTTCTTGCGTCTAATCACTATGTGCCAGCATATGCATTGACCCTACGCTGTCATGTCACACCAGGCTGATCAAAAACGTGGTTCATCGGAATCGGGAGCCGAGGATTTCACGAGATGGAGGAGAGATCCGGGGTGCCTGCATGGCTGCCCGCACGTGTTGTCTCTGTTTTCATGTGAACTTGAGGGTAGTATTTGAATGCCTTGCCCGCGTGAGGCATTTTTGTGATTGGGCCGAGAACCTAACCGAAGCATGGGATGTGAATCGGGCTGCTGAATTGAGACCTGTCTACACGGCATGTGGGCCTAGAGAAAGAGGCAAGCGATGTGATCCATTACTGATGGATGAACAATGAATGGAGTGGATATGTTTTGGCTGGCTGGAATGGCAACGGAGGAGTTGAGATGAACTTGACTAGCACTCCATCTTATCTCCGCTGTGTACTCCGCGCGGTACCTGTTACATTTACCCATACACACGTGTGGAGGTGATGAATACTAGCACATGTACGTAGGCGGACCAGGGTAAAGAGAAAGAGAGAGATATCCTAGCAAGGCGGGCGGGTCTTTCGCTACCAAGGTTCTCGTACGGAGTCGAATACAAGATTAGTACTTTCATGTACGAAATCCTGCTGCTGCAGAAACGTCGACGCTCCACCTTTGACCTTTCGCCAAGACCAAATGAAGGCACTGGTGTAGCTGGGATGGATCGCCGTGTCAATACCGCCACGTTTCTGTCTCTTGTCAACGTGATGGTGGTTTCTGCAGACTTCTAGAATGCCAGACTGTTGTGTAACACAACCTTCCATGCATTGACACCTGTATAAAAGAAAATCATCAAATCCTACCACCAATTATGACCTGTTATAGTCCCCGCAGGATCTCGGACTGCGCGGAATCCCACGGAACGCTGTCCTCGCCCAAGACCCCTGTTGGTTGAGTCTGTTGCACATAGTGGTGTCTTGAAGTGCTAACATCGCTATCAAGCCACACTCACACCCCATTAAGCCTATCGCTCGTCTATTTAGCATCAGCATAAGCCCCCGGGGGCAGCCCCGGAGGGCGATACGGAGATGTGCTGTCGCGACAGGGGACAGGGAGGGCGATTACTTTGAGCCCACGCACACAACACAATGGAGGTGGCGTCTCCGTATAAAAAGAATAAGAGGTAGGGGCTATATTTATTCAGGAAAGCGGCATAAACCGTATATGGATTGAGTCCGCTTCAAGTAGGGGCTCTAGTTATTCAGGAAAGCGGCGTAAACCGCAGATGGAATGGATTGAGTCCGCTCCAAAGGAAGTAGGGTCTAGTTACATATTCAAGAAAGCGGTGTAATACCGTACATGGATTGATTCCTCCAAAATATTCCTGCCTTGGCAGGCACTGGACAAAGCGTTTTGCGGTATCCATGGTACTGGGTAGTAGGTAGCATCTGTTGTGTACCGCCCATGGTAGGCTTTCGTATTTGGTTCCAGATCATGCTGAGGCTCATTGGAAAAGGCCCTGCTACCTGGGGTTGACCCGATTCTCAGCAGCATAATGCCGCATGGCTTGCCTGTACTGTAACTATACTAGTACACGTACGTAGCTGGACGGAGTGTACCTACCAGGCAGGGTACGTGTATGTCGACACCCGGTTATATGTAGGCTGACAGGGCCCTTGGATACGTTTAATTTGTCAGTGCGTATTTTGGACCCTCAAATCCTTCCATTCCTTTGCTTATCACTAGCGGCGACACGGCAAGAGATGGCGACGTCCGTCTGCTTTGGGCTCCTGGCATACATAGTCCCTAGTAAGCAGCGGATGGTTTCTGTCGCAGATACCGATAGAAGTGAATTCCGTACGACAACCTGCGCAGAATCCTCCATGTTCCATGTTCCATGTTCCATGTCCTCAAATGCCAGTCCATTCGAACCGACCGGAGCTATGGAACCACCGCCCCCGCTCCCCACAGCTGAACCATGCTCTCGCTCTCGTTCTTCTCCAGGTCAACGATACCGTTGCATGAAGATTATCGTCACAATAAGAGGAAAACGAGCAAGCTGACAATTCAGCGAAGAGACACAGGATGCTGGTACCTAGTCTAGCTAATATGCCGGACGGGAATCCATGGCAAGGTAGGGTAGTAGGGCTTGTGAGTGGATATAGATGTCTGCGTATGCGTATGACAACGGGACCCCCCCATCAATACAGCCCAGGTAGATACCTAGTTGCTACTCGCACGCTCCTCTAAGATAATACGCGCTGAGACTGCGGTATCATCCCACGGAACTGTACCTTTTCCGGTACCTTGCCGGCTATTCGCCATGATTTCCGTACGGAGGTTAGTGGTGTAAGCGTGAGTGACCAATCCTTGTAACCAGGTTTGACTCAGCCTGCCAGGCCAGGCGCCAATCATCGGGAAGTGAGAGTATTAATACAATGCGGACTTGCTATCGACAGACCAACGCCACAAGCTGAACAAGAGAGATTAAAGACACAGGTTTCAAAACACAGCAAATATGGGATCCATGGTAAACGAGGCAATCGTTGCAGAGCCAATTGCTCCCATGGGCGCTCTTGGTGATGAGCACAACCACACAACTATGGAGGAGGGGGCGTTGACAACGCCAGCAACGTCGACGACGCAAAATACCACATCGTCCTCTTCATCTCTGCGAAGGCTCGCATGTGATGCCTGTCGAGCCCGCAAGGTCAGATGCGACAGACAAGATCCGCCGTGTAGCAGATGCGCAAAGGTGGGAGTAACATGCCGCTACTCCAGCCGATCAAAACCGACGCCGTCCAAGATGGACTTGTCGAGGTTTCTCGTCACCCTCAACAATAGACTCAGTAAGTTCTGGCCGCCCCCACGGCCATGCTTTGTGACTCGTGGCTGACACGAATCGCAGAACAAGCAGAGGCGCAGCTCGCTACGACACGCCTGATGCAGCAGCGGAATCGACAACCCTCCTACGCGATGCCATGGGGAGATGTTGATATCACGCCGCAAATTGTAAACTCATCGCCAAACTCCAGTCCCACGAGAGAGATGACCCCGCCACACTTGGCCTCCGGACCAGGCTCAACTTATGACCTGCAAAAGATGGAGGTGATGCACGATAAGGGCATGGTGCAGCAAAACGTATCAGAGTGGTAAGTCACAGCATAAAGAATCCCCGCAGGGGCTTGAACAGAGAGATTAACATGGCCGTTTGAATCAGGTGCAACCAAACGAGCACAACGTCTACTGCCCCTACAGAGGCACCCGAGTTCTCGCCGTTTGATGCGTTTGCCACGTCCTTGTCAGCGGACATCATGATGAGCCAGGCGATGCCAGAGAACCCCCCCTTCGAGTTCGAGCCCATGTTCTTTGACATCTCGTCATCATCTACGAGCCAGTCTGTGCCCACAGTGTCGGCCACAATTCTGCAGGGACTGTATGTTGAAAATGATTCTCCAGACCGGCGACGCGAAGCTGACATGAATAGTTACGACCGATACTTTGAAGTTTTTCACCCTATCATCCCCATTATTAACAGAACACGTTTCCAGCATGAGATGTCGCAGCCGTCGCCGTCGGTCGAAGTGCAGGCACTGTCGTATGCCATTGGCACCTTGACCGCATTCTCTGTACCTGAGCTGCATTACTACGTAGATCACTACTATGAACAGGCTCGCAATCTCATGGACATTTGCGAGCGGCAAGACAGTGGCGACTCATTAAGCAACATCAACATAATGCAAGCCTACGTAATCTTAACTCTCTACGAGCTGAAGCAGCCAAACTTTGCCCGGGCCTGGCTGACACTCGGCCGCGCGATTCGGCTTTCCAAAATGATGGGGTTGGACACTGTGGAAACGGATTCGAGCATGGGTACACAATGGGGCCTGCGTAAGCAACTCATCCATCCGATTAGCTCAGCGGATCAGGAGGAGAGGCGGCGAGTTTTTTGGAGCCTCTTCATCTTCGACTCATTTGCGAGCCTACGGGTGAGCGGCGGCCCAGCCTTTGATGGAGATGTAAGTACACCTATTGGATGCAAATTTCTGCTTTGATTCCGGCTAACAAAATTCAAAGGTCAATGTCCAGCTTCCTAGTCTGAGCGACTACCCTGATTACTCGAACGAGAGGATGCCTGGACTACAACAGGTATTCGACCTGACGGAAACGGCTCCCATTTCCTCATTTGCTGCCAACGCCATCATGATCTGCCTCTACCAGCGCTATTACAGCCACATCCAATCCGCATACTCAGAAGCCTCCCATGCATTCTGGGAGACGCACTATGCGATTGACAAGTCCCTCAACCATTGCCGTACAACCCTGCTGGCGCAGCACATGAACGGCAACAGTGGCGAGAACCCGACTTCCATCGCACTGCGAATGAACTTGAACGCCCTCAAGATCAATTTGCACGAGACGGTGCTTATCAAGGTTGAGAAGGATCAATTGCCAGTGAACCTCGCAACAGATGCAGTGGCTCAATGCGTTTGCGCCGTTACCGACATTGTTCAGGCCGTCCAGCTGGGCATGCGGCTGACGGGCAACAAGCTTGAAACGTTCCGCCATTTGGACCGATTTCTTGTTTGGCCAATTACAACTTCTATTCAAGTGTGCTTCCGCATGCTTTACAATGGAGAGGATGATGCCACTCCCTACATCAACTCTCTACGCATTCTTTCCAATGCGATGAAGGACCTTATCGACCCTGAACATATTGCTCCGGGTTTGCTGGAAAAGGCCGAGGCTCGAGTTGCCGAGGCAGCGCGGTCTACACGGAAGAAACGAACAGTTGACGACGAACTATGATATTTCCTATATGTGCACATGGTTTCAATAGAACTTGTGTTCTTTTTTCACTCAATACTTTTTTCTTCCATCTGCCTGGGGCTAGGCATTTGGAGTCATGATGTAACGTCCGGCTGGGGGAGTATCATCGGTGGTAATATCTATACCAGTACACGCACACCTGGTCCCTGTACTTTTTGTTGTTCTTTGTTTGGGCGGTGTATCTGATTAATTAGCGTCACTTCGTTCCTTTTTCTTTGCTTACTTCTGTTAGATAGCCGCAGCGGCTGCATCTTGTGTTTGTGTGTGTGTGTGGGTGTCGATCATACTTGGCGATGTGCGGCAAGGATCAGGCTACCACATTGTCTGCATTTATGCAGGTAGCATTATATGTACCTATTCAGTATCAAGCTAGCTTTAGAATGCCGATCAGTCCTTCTATGAAACCTTCTACGCCACAGTGACAAGTCTCCCGATAGTACCATCAGTCTTAGCGTAGAGAAAAGGGGGTGGATATAAGTTTGTCTGTTTTGAGTGCTGCAATACAAGAATATAAGGTTTAACTTGGAGTTTCAATGGAAGTTCACCCCATGATGGACCAACAGCTTTGATTTTCTAGTGAACTACATAATGTACCACAATTGATCTTTCTATCACTCTATCACGTTGACGTACTGTCTGTTGAGAAAAGCAAGGGTGCAATTGCTAGTAGTCAATCTACCAGGTTTATTCATCTCTCATTACTTTATCATAGTAGAAGCCCCCGCATATCATCCACTCGTGAGACTCCTCTTTGAAATTTACACATCACCGGTACCGCAGAGGATACGAGAAACACGAATCTCAGCAAGGGGTTCACCGGTCTCGCTAATGGCAAAGCGCTGGCTGCAAGCAAACATCATGCCCTCCAGGGGCTTGTAGGCCTCATGGCCTGATGTGATTGTCATTTGCTCAACTAGGACACACACGAGAGATTAGCCAAAACGGCCATGCCGGCGCTAGAGGGGGGCTAGAAGCACGAATACTCACTTCCATCTCCAAAAGGAGGAGTCTTTGCATCGGGGGAGCCGGTGATCAGCCCAAGAATGGCCGGGGTCAGTTGGGAGACGCCATTGGCCTCGAGGCGGATGGACCGGTTCTCCTTGTCTGAAATGATGCAAGAAACACTAAGGCGGGCGTGGGTCTTGTCTGCATCAATACGGAACCAGTCGTGGCCATGGCTGAGAGTCATGTCCAGCTTGGGTTCGAAGCCCGCGACAGACTTCAAGGTGCCCTGGCCAAGAGGCTATCAGAGTACTTTTGTGAGTGGGTGTTGATTCGGCGAACTTGGAGCTGGGAATTCAAGACATGTACTTACAACACCAACGAGGGAAGAACCAGTGTAGATGTCTCCACAAGGGAACTGACCGGCAATGCTAACCTACGTAGTGTGTTAGTTTTAGCCATGTTGACTTATTCTACACATATAGACAACCAGATGTGGGAAGATTTCCAAAGACGAACCTTGATGACAAAGGCTGGCTGCAGGGTGGGGAAGCTCTCGAGAGGAGCCACGAAGTCTTCAGAAGCCATTGTAGATGAGATATTGAAATGGACTAAACTAGAAATTTGCAATGCTCAAAATTGAACTGTTTTCGTGAATGCCGAGGGTGTGTTATTGCTACTGTGTTGCCTGTTCCTGATGTGCTGGCTCTGATTCCAATGACCTTGCCACAACAAGCATGGGTATTTATACATCTTAAAGCATATAGAGAGAGGCTCAGTCTTATACACGCATATCCGCACGCCGGGAAACGTGCAACTATCGGGACGCCAGTTCACCAGACACCACACATGCAGGCCTATGCGGCGCCGCTGGATCTGCGAGACAGGGATGGGAGCGGCATCGACAAGTGTCCGCCAACCCTGTCACAGATGCCCCGAGCCAGCTCTCGGCCCGCGCTTGTATCTGCTATCTGTACACCCCGTGGGCGGTGTTTGGGGAGTTTAAAGATGGTTGTGGCGTGGCATCGGGACCTGCGAGATGGAGCCCCCCACGCCGGCCTACTAGATGAATCTAACGTCTACTTTAATGCAGGGGTTACTGACAGCCTGGCCAATCAACGCCCTTCTGTTCCCAGATGAGCGTCAGGCAACGATGCTCGGAGTCTGCTCTCCGCCATGCCGCCCCGGGACCCACACCTCGGGCAACGGTTCTCCGCAATGCCTGCCAAGTGCCGAATTCGCCCGATTTTGATAAAACTTGAGAATAGCTTAATTCCGAGACTCAATTTCTTTTTGCGACGGCAGAGATTAGAAGATGGAATCGTAGGTAGACAAGCGTGAGATGCGTAGGCAGCCGAAGAGAGCTTGGTTTCGGTCGCTCCTAGCCTGGTCGCGGCATTGGCACACTCTTTCAGAGAGAAACCCAGGGGCAGTCAGAAAACACGTAAAATAATGGGAACTTAGTTTGTTGATTATCTTGTAAGAAAATAAAGTCGAAGAAGCAGAGTGGCGGTCATAAATAGCCCATGATAGCTGTAATCATTGAAAGGATAAGTCGTAGATGTTGGACAACTCGGGCTGGAGCTCAAAGAATCAGGCAAACATAGAGTCGCTCCATGCTCCCAAGGAGTCAATATCTGCTCAAAAGTAACATCAATCTATGAAATTGAATATGTTTTAGAAGCTTGTACTTGGACTTCTGGCAATTCTTTGTCTACATCTTTGTCCTTATATCTTTGTTGTTCATGCCGGATGTCACCCTCATTCGTGATACCATTCCCCCTTTTCTTAACGAGCTTGACTGAAAGTTGTGGATTTAAGGGGATCGGTAGAATTACCAAACAAAGACAACTCGTCCGAAGTAGATGTGACGTAAAACAGCGTTCTGTTAGCGCCGTCAAGATTGAAACTGCCAATACCATCTGCGGCTCTTCTCCGCCCACAAGCACTGTTGGCACTTTATCGTCCAATAAGAAAGTAAAACATTGTTAATACATATTGCTCTAGATAACGAGTGATTATGAAATATGTATATATTCTTCCCGAGTTCCCGTCACTTTTATTCTCAGCAGTGTTCCTGTGGTGCTCACATCTGCCACACGCTCCAAAGCCAACGGATCATGGAGATAAGAGGCTTTACTCTACGCAGTCACTATGTTAGTCCTGTGTGAGGCATTTCTTGTCAAAATGTTTAGAATCAGTAATAATTCTTTGTTGCATTTGTCGGTGTAGCCGCGTTACATGTAAGATGTGTTGTGGGGGAAAGGGGGTGATGGTAGAAGTTGGTAGCCCCTTTATGTGACATGAGAGCCCAAAATCTTACGACTCAACTAAGAGAAAGTCTTCTCTATTGGTATTTCTATGGAGACATCTCTTACACTGCACTTTCTCTATAATCCACTTGACGTGATGATATACCAAACGCTAATATTTGCGTCTGCTTCTTCCGTGATGGGGAAGAGCTTCTTGCCGGGAATTCCAGCGTATGTATGTGATTCTTTCTTGAGAGATACCCTGGAGTATTCTCACTTTTCTCATATCGATAGCTTGTAATAAGTCCTACATACCATAAGGAAAGATATCTGGCCCCAGTCATTGCCTACCGCCTTCACTAGCTGTGTCTTGTTACCTTCCATGCGGAGATCAGAGCGATAAGTGATTAAGATTACCGATACTACGGAGTAATGAGACCCAGTAATCTGCTAATCTAACAGGCACCACACGGGTACCTGGATTTACGGCAATGCCGGCTGAGATTAGCCAACGAATACTCATGTGATGTACATCTTTCGCAGATCATGTACCCATGGTAAGTTTCATCAGACTTGTACGACCATCTGACTGGGAAAATGATTTGTCCCGGCTGATCTACTGTAGTACCAGGTCAAGCAACATGCCTTGCTAGGGCCAAGGAGTAATAGCCATCACTCCCAGTTTGGGGTAGAGAGGGTCAAATCCCATTCAAGGATGTTGAAACTTCATTTACAATGCCGGGTCATTTTTCATGATGGCTTCATGATGGATCAAGGCTACTAAAATTCAATTTACGACCAGTATATAAGTTATACACGTGGCGAAATGTACGCCATTGTTTATTTATATGCTGCTATAGTTAACTCATCGGGTGTTATCCAACTACGATCAGTCGTCTACAACGGTGATACCTCATTTTTGATCATAAACCCGATAATGAGGCTCTGAACGTCCTGAATCACGACCCGGAAAGTGGCCCTGCGACTTGGAACCATGCCCTGCTACCAGTGTTGCCAACATGTAAAGAGCAGATCCAGGGTACCCGGGCATGAATCATCTTGCATACATGTGGACTACTGCAAGAGCCTCGAATTGCGGTGGACCCCATTGAACTCCGAAATGTATGGACTAGACTCAAAAAGAAACCATGGTACTTCATTTGGAATAGTTATTCAAAATCCTACGCTGTTTGGAATATCCGCGCAAAATACCATATTTAGATCTCGTTTTCTCTTACATCGTACCATTGATGACATGTTCTCGCAAGACGGCGTTCCGAAGAGTAAGATTGAATAGCCTATGGATGTTCAAAAACTTGGATGACTACCGGATCCTCGGCGCCGCTGGCCGACAGTCAGCTAGAAATCAAATTCTGTTCGTGTGGTTCATTGGGGTATCCCGGCGTGAAGCTCTCAAGATCTCGGTGTCACTCGGATAAGTCTGCCGCAAAGTACCAATGCCGTTCCCAAAGAACAGTTGCATCCACCGGCACAGCTCGAGCCGCGCTAGACACCCATTGTCCAGAGCCATAACGCATGGTATAACGCATGGTATTATGTCGCCCAGATACCTGGAAATGCGACGCTGATGCGTGGCTCAGCGCTGATCCAATCTCGAGGTGAAGCTGTACCTACATGAACCCCCATGACCCGCCTCCACACCGGGCCGCGCTTTGTGACGGTGCAAAGACCCACCCCAGTCGCGGGTTTCCCAAGTGCGCCGTCAGCTGAGGCAACCCTTGTCAATGGCCATGGCAATGCTGGACGACGGTTCCTTGGAGAAACAATTCCCTGGATGAGTTGTACTGGTAGAAGCCATTCGCTTTGATTGATTGTGCCGTGATCCGTTGGGCTGGAATCAGCGGTGGCCAAGGACTTTGAGACTGACTGTTTTGTGATGGCGTCGTCAAGGGAAAGAAGTATAAAGAGCCCGGGCATTCTGCGTCTCTGAAGGACTTTTCTTTTCAGTATCACTCTCAACAACAGCTTCCAGTGACTTTCAAGAGGCATCTCAAGAGGCATCAGAAACTCGGCTACAATGGCTTTGCAATCAGCCCTCCTCATGGGCTTGGCCGCCGTGGGAAGCGCCAGCTACATTCCTGCAACTCCTGCTCCTGCCAACTGCAGAGTTCTTCCTGGAGATTCAGACTGGCCTGCAACTTCTCAGTGGAATGCGCTCAACAAGACCATCAATGGACGCTTGATCGCCGCTGTTCCCCAGGCCAGTGCTTGCCACGATGCGCCGTTCAACAACTACAACGCTACATTCTGCGCACAGATTCAAGCCGGATGGAACGAGACCAAGTTGTACCAGTACGTTACTAGAAGCATAGCAGCACATATTGAGAAGATTCAAATAGACTGACATAATTTCAGCATCGATTCGCCCGCTGAGTTCTTGAACATGTACTTCGAGAACTACACTTGCGACCCCTTCACTCCTCGGTCCAAGCCTTGTAGTCTGGGTAACTACGCCAGCTACATTATCAACGTCACTGGAGCTGCCGATGTCCAGGCTGGTATCACCTTTGCCAAGCAGCACAATGTTCGCTTGAACATCAAGAACACTGGCCATGAGTGAGTAGATCAACAGCAACCCTACAGTTCCGAGAATGAAACTAACCAAGAAATCTTCAGCTACCTTGGAAAGAGCACTGGCAAGGGTGGTTTGACCTTCTGGACTCACAACCTCAAGTCTACCCAATACATCCCCAAGTACAGCTCTTCCTACTACAACGGCCCTGCTCTGAAGCTTGGCGCTGGTGTTGAGGGTTTCGAGGCTTACCTTGCTGCTTACAACTCCGGAAACCAAATCGTCGGTGGATCTTGCCCTACAGTCGGTATCTCTGGTGGTTACAGCCAGGGTGGTGGTCACTCTATGCTTATGCCTGCTTTCGGTCTTGCTGCTGATAACGTTCTCGAGTGGGAGGTCGTCACTGCTGATGGTAGCCACCTGATTGCTACTCCTACCCAGAACTCTGATCTCTACTGGGCTATTAGCGGTGGTGGTGGCGGCACCTTTGGTGTTGTCTTGTCCATGACTAGCCGAGTTCACAAGGACGGTATTGTTGGCGGCGCTTCTCTCGTCTTCGACGACAGCAAGGTTGGCAACGACGTTTTCTGGGAGGCTATCGGTGCTTTCCACACTCTTCTCCCCAACCTCGTCGACACTGGTAACGGTGCCACTTACGTCCTTACTCCTCACGAGTTCCTTACTCTGGCTTTCACCATGCCCGGCAAGGATCTTGACGGTGTCAACGCTCTGATGAAGCCATTCCTCGATGATCTTACCAACCGCGGCATTGAGTACCAATACGCTCCTCGCGTCTCTGCCAGCTACTACGATCACGTCTCCTTCTACCTGGGACCACTGCCCGAGGGTACTTCCGACTACGCTCCCTTCACCGGTAGCCGCATCATGCCCCGAGATCTCCTCCTTGACCCCAAGCAGAACCCCATCATCATGAACGCCCTTCGCAATGCTACCATGACTGAGGGCTATGCTCCTTTCCCCTGCCAGGCTTTCAACGTCTCTTACCAGGCTCATCCCGACAACGCTGTTCACCCCGCTTGGCGAACTGGCCTGTCTGTCTGCTTGACTCCTGGTGACTGGGACCCTACTGCTGCTCCCGCTGCCATGCAGGCTCGCCAGGACTACGCCGCCAACGTTCTGCAGCCCATGATTGATGCCGTCACCCCTGGCGGTGGTGTCTACCTCAACGAGGCCAACTACAAGCAGCACAACTGGCAGGAGGCCTTCCACGGCTCCAACTACCCCAAGCTTCTCTCAATCAAGAAGAAGTACGACCCCAACTCCCTTTTCTATGCTAACACTGCTGTCGGCAGTGAGGCCTGGACTGTGGACGGCAACAACAGACTTTGCCGCGCTTAAACTTGTGACTTTGTCTATTGATCATTGTTGGGAGACTCTGAGCAGAATGAGAGGATGATATGCTTGCCCTGGGATTGGGATATGAGACAGGAGTGGTATGGATACGCTGAGGTTTAGAGGCCCCCTTGTAACCCAAACCTCTGGGTAGCACGGATTATGGGTCATTGTTTTTCCTTTGCCTTCTACACTAGAAACAATTTTCCTTGCACTTAGATTATCAATGTAGTTGTGAGACAGAGGATCAATAATAATGTTGTGTTTTTTGCAAAATTATGCGTGTTTATTACTCAGTGTTACACTTTACTGACAGCCATAGATATGCAGTACACTCTATTAAACCTAGTCAAACACTCGTAGCTTAAATCTCTACTTAAAAGGGACTCTGTAAATTCAAGACTTCTTAATAACAACAGAGTTTATAATGACAAGCTTCCTTTTTTGGTTTGATGAACAATGAGCCAAATACGATCAAGATAGCATTCTAACTTAGTTGAGTCCCAGAGTTGGGCAGACGCCATTGCCGATAAGTCTTACAGCTTGTATCGAACTGACCTATTCCCCCCTTTCTTAACACAGCTGCTTCATCCTTCTTTAAATCATTGCAATATCACCTGACTTTGAATGTTTCCATTTTTGATGCTCTGGAGTTTCCATTACAACTAAGGTGTTTAGCTTGTTTTATTATTATTTTCTAGTGAAAGCTTTGAGGGACTTTTAGTAGCAACTAGGAATTAATTATAATTGAACGCGAAAGCAAGAAGATTTAGGACGTCTCCAGAAATATGTCAACTTCATTTTAATTGCTTGTGGGATCTCTTAGATATAAATGATATAGGAAAATGCTGCTACTAGAACCACCATCTTTTCAAACTAAATATATATATGTATCGTTATGTCGGCCATCATAAGTAAAACAAAAAGGAAAAAGAAAAGTCACTCAACACCACATTGACAATCAGTTAAATCCAAGGGGCTTAACAGAGTTGGTGTGGCCGTTTTCTTGCTTCACAATGCTAAGCCCGTCAGGGCCAACACTGGGTGTCGCGGACCCGGCGGAGACAGGGGTCATAGAACCAGAAGCAGTATAGTCGGGAGTTGCCCTTTGGCCCAATGACTGGAGGTATTCTTGCTGCATGCCCTTGTACTCGCTCGGATATGCAGGTGCGAATAGTCCTGAGAAAAAGCCCTTCTTGCGGTAAGTTTTGACGCCAAGGTCACCGAGTAGAGTGTCAATGTACTGTATGCAAGTCAGAATAAAGTTAAAAGGTTAAGAATGGGACAAAGGTCCGCTTACTGGGAGGAAGTCGTAGATAGCGTAGGCATGTTTTCGGCCCTGAGCAACATATCGCTTTCCGGTCCAGGTGTTCCATTCAGCAACTTCTTGTTCCATTTCTTCCTGAGATGGGACATCGTGGAGGCCGAGTAGGAAAGCGGTGCCCCAAAGAGCTTGTGTCTCAGATACTGTGGGAGTGAAAATGGAGTGAATGAATCCAGGGAAGGTGACTGAGCGATCTCCTTGAGCAGCGAGCTTAGGAACAATAAGGCGGCGATAGTGTCGACTAGGACCGTGCAGAAGCTTTCGTCCACCTGCCGTCAACTCTCGTTCAAACTTCTTCTCGCCAAAGGGGCTCTTCTTAAGGTAAGGTAGAAGCTCATCAACCGTCTTCTCAGCCTCTTCACCAAGCTTGGCCCACTTTTCGTCTTCTTCAGGGTTGGGCAGGAATCCAAGCTCTTGTTGCAGCTCTTCGCTGAAAACCTGGAATGACTTGTCGAACCCAGTGCACATAACAATGTAATCCGTCTGGAAGCTCTCGCCGTTTTTCAGATTGACAACGTTGCCGTTATCGAGTGATGCGATATCTGTCCTGTGAACGGTGCAGTCGCCGCGGTGGAAAGTCTTCCAGAAGAGAGGGACACTGGCTGCACCGAGACCTGCGTTCGCCCAGAAGATTCCGTTTCCTTCGGGACCGGGTCTGAGTTTTCTGGCATTTTCGGACTTGGAGTAGCCGGCGTGTCGATCAGCAATCCAGTTGACGATTAGCCAGAAGATGTAGACAAATCCCCGTCCCAGAAGAGTCCTTTGGAAAAACTGATGACCAGCACCATCAGTGCTCATGATGCTCATGCCCATCAATGCCATGAATCTGGTGGTGACCACGTCCATGGTGTTTCTAAGGCCGAGGAGAGTCGGAGGCATAATGGCCAGGGGTCCTGATCCATCTTCTCGGATAATCCAGTTAACCTTTTTGCCAGCATTCAGCAGGAAAAAGACTGTGTCGTAGGCTGACTTTGCTCCTCCGATGACAGTGGCAGTATTGATTTTTCCAAGCGCCTCCAGATGCACACCCATTTCGGAGGAGTGGATTACGGTAGAGGTAAAGTTGTTTCTCGGCCAAGCAGGTATGACAGGGTGTGAAGTTGCTCCCGAGGCGTAGATGAGCTTCTCGCACTCAATAGGAGCTTTGTCTTCAATCTCTAGACGCCATCCGCCAGACGACAGTCGAATGACACGAGTGACCCTAGTTCGCAGACGAGTTCGGCGGGTCAGATCATAGTCTTGGGCGAAATCGGTCAAGTAGTTGTGAATCGTTTCACCAGAAACATATCCATCGTCGGTGATGCCTTCATGTTTCATGGGATAGAAGGAATATTCGAACAATCCATGTTTGATTTGTGCGTAGAGACCCGGGTAAAGTTTATCGGTTGCCCATACACCACCGAATGAGCTTTGCTCATCGATAATAACAAGATTGGTCGTCGGCGCGAAGTCGAGGTAGGTTTTCGCAGAAATTAGACCATTCCAGCCTACACGCCACACAAGTTGGCCAGTATCAGCTGTGTTTCGAGGTGCAAACAGAGTGTGTGCTTGTGCTCAGAATGTGTAGGCAGGGGTGTGCCAGGAGTTTAGTGCTTACCAGCGCCAACGACGATAACGTCGACTTTCTCCGCTGTAGAGTCCATGACTGGCGATAAACGTCTGGGGAAGCGGCGTTTATAGATCTAGCACGTGCAAAAATACTAAGTTGGTTAATTGCCAGTCGAATTCATCTCTTAATGAGCTTCAGTGCACGATGAGCCTGCTAGTTTACTCTTTATATCAATCGACCCTCTGTCATCAAGCCCAAGAGTCGACTACTGCTTATGATGGAACATACGAAAATCATGGTCAAGTCGTATGATTCGCTGCTTGGAATTTTAGTTTATCTGTGAGCTCAGCAAACGAATGCGAAAATCCCGGTCTTATGGCTGACGATGCCGCACGGGCGACCTCGGACCGCAGCGGGGGCCTCCGGCCCGCCAGGAACTCGGAGCTCAACGGTCTTACACCAAGCTGCAAGGTCAAACACCACGAATGCTAAGGGAATTTTGATGTCAGCTCGGCATCCTGACAGCGCAGTTGATGTGCGTTTGCCTAAACGATCGCGCTTCTCGTAGTTTTGCTCTCCGCAGCATGCTAGTATAAACAAAGATGCCATCCTCTCACACGAAACAAGACCCTTACCGGAGTCGCCCAAAAATCGAAACGGAACCGCTAGTTGCCCACTCGTACTCGTACCGTACGTATCGACTTACTGCTGTTGCAGTGCCCTAACGCAACTTGCAAGGACCAAAAAATTATCACTTTAGTCATGGCCTTGGTCGACGCTTACTACGTCTTCAGGGCCTTTACTGGCCTTGGGTTTTACTCGCAATGGATTGTCATGATGCAGAACGGCTCTTTCATGACAATGCTTTGGACCAATCTGAAAGGAGTGTTTCCCACTGGCACCCCTGTCAAGACTTCCTGGACAGGCATTTGGCCCGTTGACTTTGTTCTCGGCCTGCTAGTTGTCTTTTTTGGCGCCGTCAACAACGTGGCAGACTTGAGCGATCTTGGTCCATTCCTGATGCTGGTGGATCTCGTCTTTGCACTGGTTGTCTTCAACATCATGACATTGGTTGAAGATCGACGAAACAGGAAAACAGGTCCACTGAGATAGTATGTTTATTCCACTACAACCCAACTTACGACTCCAGACTAATCTGTAATTGTTGATAAGTCCGGCGGTATGGCAGTTCTTGTGGAACTGGTGTGGCGCGGCTTCCGTGCTCCCCGTGTATTGCCACCTGTACGTGTCCAAGAGACTAGGCAGCAAGACTTCGCTCCTCTCAAACGACCAGGCCCAGGCCCTACCACTTACGGCACTCTGGAGTATCGTCATTTCGCTCCCGCTCTTGCTTCCTTCAGCCCTGGGAGCCCAGCCGTTTGATATCCAGGATGGCGTGGTAGTCTGGTTCTTTGGCCCTTTCTTCCTGGGCCTGTTCCAAGACCTTGTCAGCGTCCTGTTTTCTGGAGAAAACTACAAGGGAATTCGCAAGCCAGTGACTCTCGCTTACTGGATTGTTGGCCTCACCAGCGCTGTGGTCCACATTGGAGTTGCAGTGTGGGCTTACACTGCTCCCGAGTTATCGTGGTATCGCGTTTACTGGCCTAATCATGCTGCTGTCATAGCTGACAGCCCGACTTACATGACTGAAGGTGCAATGCTCTTCATGCAATATGACCATGTCCTCATCTACCTGTGTGTGATCGGCATGGGGCTGTACATGCTCAGTCCTCAGAAGGCTATAACTTCTACCTTTCTGGGAGAGAAGATCAGGGCGGGCTGGCCGATGGTAAAACTCACTGCCATTACCGCAGCTGCAGGGCCCGGAGCGGGTCTGGCATGGCTGATGTGCCACAGGGAAGGGGAGTTGGATGCGGCAGCCGAACAGAGGAAACGCAGATGAATAGGCGAATTTGTTTTGTTGAACACTAGCAGGAATTGCCGTAGCTGGGGCTCGGATGGTTAATGACCGAGAGGCGGAAGTCTAGCCCGTAGGAGCTGCATGTAAGCGAAGTAAGCAAGGGGACATGGGGCTGTATCGTTGAACACGGTGGATACAGTAATGGAGGATGTGGCTGAGAGGTATATTTTGGCATAATAGGAATTCCTTATATGTACAGATAATGCAACATGCATGCATGAAACAGACTGATACCTTCCTAGAGCATTGGTAGTTTGTGATGTTGTTGGCGAACAATCAAACCTCTCTATTGGCAACAGTTGTCGTTGGCTTCCTTAGCCATGGTACGATACAATCTATGTGAAATCTATTCGAGAACAAACTTCCGCTGTTATGTAACAAACAACCAAGATTCTCCATCTTTGTAAGAACATGGATCATCCTATCTACGTGAGAGCAAATCTACTGTATTGATAGCCTGGTAGTTGTAGATGGTGGCGAAAACTATACAGAAATCAGTCGACCAAATATTACCCCGGTCTAACTCTACTTTAACACGAATCTTTCTGCACAGAGTTTGAAAATAATAAACAACCTGTAAAAATTTCAATTTCCCATTTTCAATCTTTTCTTTGTTATCTGATTCCGATCTTCCATTGGATCATCAATTATCAATGTTACTCCCGGGTAATTCTAATCTTCACATGTAAGCGTGGCGGTTATTTTGTCGACATCGTTCTCGATTTCCCATTCCGTACCTTGATAGCACTATTCGGAACCGCTTGCTCCGCTTACTAGGTTTAGAGTATTATATGTGACAAATGGGTGTGTAACTTACTGGTAATCGATGCATGCACAGTAACGCGAACATGTGGCCGGGATGCATGTACCTGTCATTTCGTAATGGTACATAATCGCCTCCGTACCCCTGCGATCTGGGATAGATAAGATGAGAGCGCTTATTCGCGCAAACTGCGCACTCCCTCCCGGTCTCCAGGGTCTCGGAGCGGGTCGAAGCGTTGCTCGGACACGAGAGAAGCTGTGCTGATGGGATGCTAGCCCCGATGAGGCAGCCCCGATCTGATCTGTGGATCCAAGGGCGCGCAATTCAAGTGCGTCTTACACCGGAGGAGGAGGATCGCCGCAGCTTTGGAGGCTTGGGAGTCAAGGGCCGCGGATCGTGGGGTGGCAGGGGTAGAACATTGGCGAAGGCCCTCGTGGCTCTGGTTTGTAAGGAAGTGCCGTCAGCCCCCTTCAGACAAGGCCAGTAACTGTAAACTGTAACACTAGACTGGACGGCTTCCTACCGTACATGCATAAGACCCTGCATCTAACACTTGACCCGCTGGGCGGAACTGATACTAGCATACTCGGTGATCCGTATATTCGCACTCCGCGAGGCGTATGGAGTCATCTCGGACGGCGGGAGCTTGTAACGCAGCCGCCGTGCTTACACTTGGCCAACGGCTTATCGGATTTGCGCAGCGCAGTATCTGTCTATCAGATTGAGAGGCAGACGGGCACCGCTCCGGAGCGGCATACGCCGTAGTACCTTAGATGTCGCAGATTTGTGAGATATGTGATAGCCATGTAGGAGTCAAACAATGAATGACAATAGGTATAATAGTCTCGTCATGGCCGCTTCCAAAGTGAACTGAATTCTCTCCATCCCCCCCACAAGATCAATCAACTTACACACAGCCTTGGTGCAGAGCACCCTCGCAAACAACTCCAGAAGCTCCAAAGCCCTGAAACCTTCTCTTCGAAAGCTTCGATTTCGTTTTGAAAACGCAACTCGACAAGTCAACCCCACCTGAATAACTTTTGTATCCCCCAAATACATCTATTATTCAAGACTTCAAGATGCCTGCCGTTACTCGAAACGCTAGCCCTTCTTCCCAGTCGTCTTTTGACGGTCTGCACAACTCTGATACGTCCCCATCCAGCGCTGCCTCTTCCGCTGGCGATGACGAGTATGCTGCCGCCTCTTTCCCCGACTACGCTGAGAAGCCTCTCGATGAACAATTGGAGCCAATTGCTGTTGTTGGCATGGGTACGTATTGCTCTTGATTTCCACTTTCGACTTTCACGAATTGAGTTGCTTACTCCCCTTACAGGTTGCCGTCTGCCCGGCGATGTCAAGTCTGCTTCCGAATTCTGGGACCTCATGATGAGCAAGGGCACTGGTAACACGCCCAAGGTCCCTTCGACTCGATTCAACATCGATGCCCACATCCACAAGAACAACGACCGACCTGGAAGCTTCGGTGTCCTTGGTGGATACTTCCTCAAGGATGATCTTGCGGACTTCGATCCCGGTTTGTTCGGTATCACCCCCGTCGAGGCCATGTGGATGGACCCTCAGCAGCGAAAGCTGCTCGAGGTTGTCTACGAGGCTCTCGAGTCCGGTGGTATCTCCCTCGAGAAGATTGCTGGCACCCGAACTGCCGTCTTCGCCGCCAGCTTCACTGCTGATTGGCAGCAGATGGCCTTCAAGGAGCACTCTTTCCGTCACTCCTTGGCTGCCACCGGTGTCGACACTGGTATCATCAGCAACCGTATCAGCCACGTCTTCAACCTCAACGGTCCTAGCATCATGTGCAACACTGCTTGCTCATCTTCTGTCTACGCCCTCCACAACGCTTGCAACGCCCTCCGAAACAAGGAGTGTGAGGGTGCCATCGTCGGTGGTGTTAACCTGATCATCACTGTTGACCAGCACATGAACACTGCCAAGCTTGGTGTCTTGTCCCCCACTTCGACTTGCCACACCTTCGATGCCTCTGCTGATGGTTATGGCCGTGCTGATGCTGTCGGTGCCGTCTACCTGAAGCGTCTCTCGGATGCTATCCGTGACGGTGACCCAATCCGTGGTGTTATTCGATCCAGTGCTACCAACTCCAACGGCAAGGTCCCTGCTGCTGGTATCACCCACCCCAACCGTGATGGTCAGGCTCATGTCATTGCCGCTGCCTACAAGCGCGGTGGTGATCTCGATCCCCGTCTGACTGGTTACTTTGAGTGCCACGGTACTGGTACCGCCGTCGGTGACCCTCTCGAGGTCAACGCCGTTTCCATTGCCATGAACCAGGATCGCAAGCCTGGTGAGGAGCCTCTGTGGATCGGTGCAGTTAAGACAAACATTGGCCACTCTGAAGCTGCTAGTGGTCTGTCTGCCCTCATCAAGGCCATCATGATTGTCGAGCGTGGTGTTATCCCCGCCACCCGCGGTCTTGTCAACCCCAGCCCTGCCATCAAGTGGGATGAGTGGAAGGTCAAGGTCCCTACCGATGCCGTTGCCTTCCCTCGTCACCTCCCCGTCCGTCGTGTTTCCATCAACTCTTTCGGATACGGTGGTACCAACGCTCACGTTATCGTTGAGGGCACCGACTCTCTGACTCGCAACGCCCCTGCCTACACCTATACGGACAGCTGGGCTCAGCAGCCAAAGACCACCGGTCGCCGCCGTGCTCTTGAGCGTAACCGCCCTTTCTTGCTGCCTTTCTCTGCTCACGACAAGGCCACTGTTCGCCGCAACATTGACGCTCACGGCAAGGTTGCTTCCAAGTACAGCCTGCTTGATCTTTCTTACACTCTGGGTAACCGCCGCAGCAACCTTGCTAGCAAGGGTTTCGCTGTCGCCAGCTACAACTCTCTGACCAAGGTCTTTGAGAATGTTGGCGAGAACTTCACCTTTGCTGACAAGAAGAACATCCGCTCTGTCGGCTTTGTCTTCACCGGTCAGGGTGCCCAGTGGGCTCGCATGGGTGCTGACTTGATGGCTTACTGCCCTTCATTCCTCCGCTCCATTCGTGCTCTTGACCTCGTCCTTGAGGAGCTTCCTGATGGCCCCGAGTGGTCCATTGAGGACGTTCTCCTGGAGCACGCCGAGACCTCCCCCATCAGCGATGCCGAGTTCTCTCAGCCCCTCTGCACTGCTATCCAGATCGCCACTGTTCAGCTGCTCCGATCTTGGGGTGTCACCCCCAAGGTCACCGTTGGTCACTCTTCTGGTGAGATTGCCGCTTCTTACGCTGCTGGCTTGGTCTCTGCCGATGAGGCCATTGTTGCTGCCTACTACCGTGGTAAGGTTGCTCGTGATGTCAACACTGGCGGTGCCATGATGGCCGTTGGCCTCGGCGCTGAGGCTGTTGAGAAGTACCTGGCCGAGTACCAGGGCAAGGTTGTAGTTGCTTGTCACAACTCCCCTGCTCTTGTTACCCTGTCTGGTGACGGTGATGCTCTTGAGCTCGTCCGGGCCAAGCTTGACGCTGACGGTGTCTTTGCCCGTCCTGTCAAGACCAACGGCAAGGCCTACCACTCCCACCACATGGCTCCTGTCGCCGAGAAGTATGAGGCGATGGTCCGAGCCACCAAGGAGAAGGTCAAGGGCAGCCTTCCTCTGGCTACCAACGCCAAGATGGTCTCATCTGTTTACAACAAGATCCTCGGCGATGAGGATGTCGTTGACGAGACTTACTGGAGTGCCAACCTTCGCAGCCCTGTCCTGTTCGACCAGGCTGTCACCACCATCCTGGCTGCTGAGGAATTCTCCGATGTCGACCTGTTCATCGAGATTGGCCCTCACTCCGCCATGGCCGGCCCCATCAAGCAGATCAAGGCTGCTGTCAAGAACGACAAGATTGAGTACATTCCTACTCTCTTGCGTGGCAAGAACTGTGCCGAGCAGCTCCTCAAGACTGCCGGTGAGCTCTTCCTCCGCAGCTACCCTGTGAACATGGAGAAGATCTCCAACGCCTACGTTGACCAGCGTGGTAGCAATGGCAAGGCCCTCAAGGGACAAACCATTGTCGATCTCCCTCCCTACCAGTGGAACTACACTCGACCCTTCTGGGCCGAGAGCCGTAGCTCTCAGGAGCAGCGTCTGCCCAAGTACCCTCGTCACGATGTCCTCGGACAGCTGGTCGTTGGTAACTCACTGGCTGAGCCCACCTGGCGCAACATGCTCCGTATCCGCGATCTGCCTTGGCTCAAGCACCACCACCTCGGTGGTGAGTCTGTCTTCCCTGCTGCCGGCTACTTCGCCATGGCCATTGAAGCCATCCGCCAGATCAACGAGACGAGTGCTAACCCCGTCAACATTGAGAGCTATGTTATCCGCGACGTGTCTATCAAGACTGCTCTCGTGACCCCCGATGATGATGATGGTATTGAGGTCCTCTTCAACATGCGCCCATCCATCATCGGTGCTGGCTGGTGGGACTGGAACGTCTCATCTGTCGACTCTGAGCGTGTCAAGAAGGACCACATGTCCGGCAGCATCAGCATCAACACTCGCCCTCGCG